CTGCCTACTCCTCTGGGTGACAGGCGTGAGTGTTTATGTTATGTATGTTATGTTACATGATGGTTTCCTCACTCTCATCGTAGAGTAAGTAGTAAATCAACACTTGAATTGTAATTAACAATTTCACTGTTGGGGGGAGGGGATCAGTCCCTCCTAAATTGCTCGCGTACCATGAAACTTACAGCAAGCACTTAGCCCCTAAAATAGCATGGCTCCTGAGTAAAAAAACATATAGATTGATAGTATTTGCACATGCAAACATAACACTAATATAAAAAAAGGTAAAGGTCATTAGTTCACAGTCAAAACTTAATCGGATGCAAAATTAATAACCTAAAAAAATATAATGTGATTATGTAATATATTAGTTATGTAGATATTAATCTTGGTGCATTAATATGTACATAACTAATATATTACTACCACTACCTTATTCGTGAGTAGCAGTAGATTCTGTTATACCAAATACTTCATGAGAAAAAAGAAAACTTTTTAATAATCTTATGACAGCAAGAATAAATTCGGAAATAATGGATCAACGCATTTTATTAAACAATATATAGAAACAAAGCACCTTAAATTTTACGGGACAGTTGATTATCAAAGACGACTGTTGTGAGCTGTTTAATTTTCTAAAATATTTTTTGTTACCAATTTCCACCGCCTAGCGTGACGATGAAGAGTATTACAAAAAAACGGTAAAAATAACAAGGTTTCCTCGTTGAAATTATATGTTTTCCGTTCGTTGCTTGAAATAACAATTACTTGTTAAAAATAGTTCGTTTTCTCTACTACAATAAGCCTAAGGCAAATTTTAGATAATTTATTTATTTAGTAATAAACATTCTTCCGGGGTATGTTTAGGCCTAAACTCTGAGAGTCATGATTTGGAAGCTCTAATTTGTAGATTCTATTAAATATCGACCATCAAAAAAAATATATTTTTATCTCACAAATACCCTATACTTTAATAATGATAAAACACATTTTCGTTATATGACTTTCACGTAAGGAAGAAAATCGACATAATACAATTAACGACCGAAAAAGCTTCGATACAAGCCCCAATATCTCCGAAGTTCTACATCATTTTGACGGAAAATTTATATCAAAATATTTATCAACATTTGTTTAAACTATACTATGATTTTTACTTTTTAAATCATTATAAAAATAATATTTTTAATTAATTAAATAAAACTACCATATATTTCCCTGCGCCGGCATTTTGAAATTATTACAGCACGAGCGGTCAAGGTTGTACCTGTGTCACTTCATTTAGCACGCTCCGTCTCGTTTCGATATTATCCTAGTGTGCGTCGATGGCCTTGGAGCTGCTATTTTGTTTTTATTTTTATTTATGCCTAGACTCTAGGCCCTAGAGCATCTTCAACTACTCTCGCTGTTTTTAATTGTTTGAGGTATTTACTTTCGTACAGTATATTTCAATTAGTATAAATATCGCACATTATTATTATACTAAATAGTTATTTTGATTGTAGCTAAGCTTTCCTACCAGTCGGAATGGGGAAAAATAAATACAAGTATCAATATGTCACTAAACCTAAAAAAAGAAATATCCTATCTCTGGAGAAAAAATAATGAAGAATAAAAATGTATGTATGCTTGCCATATGGACTAAATTATGCAGTAAAAGTACTAAACATCTACAAAGACGGCAAGCTTTGGATTTTGAATATATTACCCAAGTTACAAGCGTTTTATAAAAAGTGTTTGTGGACGGCTCCCTGGCTTAGCAATTAGTGGCTGCGCTGGGGGCCACGGGTTCGAATCCCGCACGGAACAAGTATTTGTATGACCACAAATAATTGTTCCAGGTCTGGTTGTTTGTCCTTGTGCAATTTATGTTTGTGCCTCCACGATACAGGAGAAAATCCTAGTGTGGGGGTAACGCATATAAAAAAAAGTGTTTACTGCTTGAAATTATTGACTCGAGATAAGCTCGGTCAATGCCGTTGCAGCAAATAATTTTTATAATGAAAATATGGTAATTGACTGTAAGTACCAATTAAATTTTTTTTTGTTACAGCTGGTTATTTTATTTATTAAAACAGTTTGCAACCGTACTATTTATTTATGTATACCACTATGCTGATAGTTTGTCGATATAATCGATTATTAACTACGTCGTTTAATGATTGATTACTGCGAAACAATTTAAATATTTATGTGTACTTATTTCAACACCAAGGTTCATAAATAATGAAAAATATATCAAATATATTATAATAAATTATATAGATAACATAAAAATTAGGGATGGGCGGAATATGTATTTCACCGAATACGAATATTCGGCCGAATGTTCGGTAAAATTTTTACCGAACCGAATATTCGGCCGAACATGTTTCGGCAGGATAACCTCAGGACCTAACCAATTTATGTCGAAACTTGTTACCGTAAAGCGCGCGGGATTAGCGCAGAACCCTGCCTCTCGCTCCCCGCCACACCTGACAGTTATTGCATCCTCTAATACTGAGCAAATTGCCGGCACATGCTTAAGTTTTTACTATTCTTGTGATAAAAATAGTATTTCGTACTTCTAATCTTAGTGAAAATTGATAATTATATGATAAAAATGAGCGGCAGGAGATTTACTATTTGGACTTATTTTAGAGATACTAACGTACTACTGTACTAACGTACTAATGTAATGTAGTGTTTTATCATATCACATTTTATCAAGTTTCTATTTGCCATAATCGGAAATAAATCTACAGTGCCTCAAAAACATAAATGTATAATATCATGCATTTGGGCACTCTAGAGTAAGTAGATTAAACCATAAATAAAATATACTTTCAACAGTAAAAGACATCGCATTACTCGATTCGTACATTTCAATACATTGGACACTATGAAAACGAATGTTCGGTGATTTAGCCGAATATTCGGCCGAATACGAATATTCGGTAAAGCTGCCGAATATGCCGAATACCGAATATAAAACGAATATTCGGCCCATCTCTAATAAAAATGACACTAAAGTTTTCCATCCATTGAACTCCATCCTAAGAAAACATATATAATGGAAGATAAAGATCGTTTAGTTGCTATACTCACAGTACCATAGTGCGAGCGAGTGAGTATAGGATAAGAAATAATTTATCGCTCGTAAAATACTTAAATTTGTGTAACACCGAAATGTAAGAGTGCTCTTAAGGTAAATTCTCCCAACTAGGAAAAATTTGCCTTGATCTCCCGTTGGGGAGAGGCCAACGTCCTGTAGTGGACTTTTACGGGCTGACGAAGCAGATGCTTAGCGATTATTATTTCTTTTAAGAAATATTGTTTAGTCAAAGCAATTTCCGAATTCGAAATTCAAAAATTCGAATAATCGGTCACAAAGTATATATCGAAGCATTGAAGTAATATGTACTTACGTACTAGAACAGCTATTTTAAACCAAAAATGTGCGCTACTCTGTGTTCGCGCGGTTGTTTTTTTATCATAGAATAAACATAGGTAGAATGATCCGTAGGTAATAGTTGATTGTATTGTTAAATAGGTAAATTGTATCCAGAACAATATTTAACTTTTGTCATTTATTTTGTATATTATATTTTCTTATTTAATATTATATACATATTACATAATATTATATCACAATTACAAATTAATGATAAGTATTTTTATCTGAATATTTTAAAAGGTAACAATGTCAAATATAAAAAAACCATACTAAATGTATGTTTAGCAAAACTTATTAACGTAACATTTAAATTACAAATATATTTTTTAAATTAGAATAAGAGTCGTTCATAAATGCCGGGCACGCGAGAGTTAAAAATGGACGAATTTATTCCACTTTGACTTTGATGTGGAAACCTAAAAATAAAATAAAAGCATATTTAAATATGAAAGTTAGCCTAACTATAATAACCTATATATTTTTCTACAAAAATGTGTATAATAATATATTCGTCTTATACTTAAGAACGCACAGAAATGTCGCCTCTGAACATATAATTTTCATAATCTATATTCCATGACACGAGATGGCATCTTAGGAATAATTTTATTAATACATAATACTTTTTTATTGATTAAGTATCTTGTTAACCGATGAAAAGTAATTCCTTGGTTTTTACTGACATTTCTTGAATTATTTGGGCAATATCTAAGTACACACGACGCCATATTTTTATCAAGAGATTTTTTTTAATCAACACAACACGTGACAACTGTACAAGCGACTAGCGAGTGACTGATTAAAGTGCGGTGTATGCACCGCAGTTGAGTGGAACAGAGTAGCTGAATGCAGTGTCGCCTCTAGTACGTAGTACATAATCGGTCACAAAGTATATATTTAAGCAATAAATTTTAAAAACTTACAAAATGTCGTTAACAGACGTGGGGGCTACTGTTGTAACAGTGGCGGGGCTCGGCAAGCCGACAGTGGAGATGACAGGTGGGGTGCTGGCGCTAGTGGCGGGGGGGGGGGTCGGCGTCACTCTGTGCGACGTCGTCGGGGCGACGCTGACGGCCGGCTTAACGTCCACCACACTGTTGACGCTCGCCCGGGAGTCGTTCGACGTGGTGGCCGTAACGTCACCGATGTCAGGCGGTTCGCGTTGCCGTCGATCCGATTTGTCGACCTTTGCGTATTCATCTTCTATCGGTGACAAGTCCGAAAGGTCACTGTCGGAGCTCCAAGGATCTAAAATATTAATATATATGTATTAAGCATCAATGTTATTTTCGAAAACGGATCATAGGGTCAACACAATCACAACAAATTAGCGTCAAAGAGCACCCTTATCGCTGCGTTTCGTATGGTAAGTGTAGAGAACGAACGAATCGAATAATTCATTTTTTTGATGTATTGTTTGGGTAATTTAATTTTTATTTTTAAAATTCCTTAAATTACATGAATCATGACTAAAACAATTTTTTTTAATTTGTCAACATAAAGAATCGTGCCCAGTTTCCATACATTTAAAAACGTGATAGTGACAGTTAATGTATAGTTATAAGGTATAGTAGAAAAACTACATATACGTTTAGAAAATAATGCCATATAGTCATATTTACGATTTAAATGCTACGAAGCCGAAAAAATATTAATGTCATTTTTTAGGTTAGGATTTACCATTACCAAATAGTTAATAAAGAAAAAAATATGCTAGAACTTATTATTAACACTCTAAGTTAAGATAGGAATACTTACCTAGCTATGGTCTAAAATGTCTTTTTTACTTTGTGAATTCCTTGAAACCAACTGCCCCTAAGTCACCGCTTACTCTCGATGATTGTCACCATAAATTGAGTGTCGAGCACTATCTGCTGTTTCTTTCGCACACATAAGTACTTACTAACTACATTTTTACTTAAAAATTATAGATAGTTCCTATATCTCTAAAAAAGTCTGAGTTCTATATTGTTAAAATTATCACTCATCAACTAAACACATTTCATTGGCCTAGGGTACGTATTTACATACATACCTGATGAACAAAATGGGAAAAACAAATAAAAAAACTATGTTAAATTGGAATGGCTTATTAATTATCATTTTCATCTAAATCTCTTACAACTACGACATCCAGAAATGCTGCTGGAGCAGAGATATTTTCTTTACCTAGGCCGTCCGAGGTACCACACTAACGTCATAACGTGAACGCAATATCCAATGGTTCGTCAACCAACCAAACAATTACAAGAATATTCAACTATACCAGCTCTGCCAGACACATTATTTTCTATTAAAATATAGAACAACGAAGAGCTGCGCCGATGCCAATTGCAGAATTGTCAAATGTCAAAAAATCCGTTTCGTACGTCCGCACTCAATGACACACTGATTGTTTAATTTTTAAATTATTATATTATTTTTAATTAGTTTTTACTATACAAAGACTAATAAAGAAATAAATAATGATTAAATGAAAAATAAAATAATGTATAAAACTCAGAAACGGAGTTGAATAAAGCAAAGTAGCAGTGTGTAAAATGGAACATCCTAGAAAAAGGGTAGTTGAGATGCATTCAAAATATAGTGATACATTTACCCTTGACGTTAATAAGATTAAAGAATTATTAAAAAATATTTTTTTCCTGCGTTTCTTTTAACATTTTGATAAAAGTAATTAATTTACAATTCAATTAGCTAAATTTTAAGATTTATTTCATTTCTATACATAGTCAGGTGAAAAATGGGCATCCTTCTTTGTATAGGCAAAAAAACTCATATACAAGGCCGCGATATAAAAACCATTACGTAATTTCAAAATTTCGCCATTTCGGGAGCTTACTGTGCGTAATTTTGTGATTTTGTGTTTGTCCTCTTATTTTGTAACTCGGCTTTAACTCTTTGGACTTTTTCTTCAATATTCGTTGAAGCATGTGCCCATTTCACAAAGGATAATTGGGCAAAAGTGAAGGGAAAGGTAGAAAAAACAAAAAAATTATTATGGATGACTTTGAAAGAGACATTAACTTTGACTGCATTATTGAAATTCAAACAACGACAGTTCAACTAGTTGTACTGAAAGTGATTGAATAAATTTATTTTTAATTTAGTTATAATATTTATAACTGTGCCTCTAGAAATAAGCGGTACCTAACAACAAATACATAGAAACTGATAAATCTTGTGTTTTAAATTATCCATTTTTAATTTATTCTGGTATTATTCAAACCAAACTGTAAATGATTACCAACTGTCAATAATCGATATCGATTTTTTAAGAATCGAATATTGTACGTTCCCATTTTTTGGTTGGCATGCTTGGAGCAATAAGTCTGACAGCTGTCAAAATGTATTTCTTAGATTTGGTTAACTATACCGCCGTTCAAACGAGATTTTCTACTTAACTCGCCAGGGTCGCAAGTTAACTCGCTACTATACTTGAAGTGTAAATCGGCTATAAGGGATGGTAGTCAATCCACTGGCTTCAAAGTTCAAAAAATTTCGTGTAGGACACTACACGAAATAGAATTGTTATTAAATCTAATCTTGTTATTAAATGTAAAAATCATTTGCTGTGCGTTAGTTTCGGTAAAACTCGAAAACGGCTCGCACGATTTTGATAAAAAAATTTGTGTGCATTTGGGTGGGTCCCTGGATGGTTCGTTTAGATTCACAATTGGACCCGTTAGGTGGCACTGTTGTCGAGATCCAGAAATCTCCCGTGCGAAGTCGGACGGATCGGTAGTCATATATAAACATGTGTTGTGCGACGACAGCGAACAGTGTTGCGCACCGTCTATGAGCAGCGGGTCGGGGTCGGGGCGGCGCGGCAGCGGCGGCGTCTCGCGGCGCGCGGACGGCTCGTGCGGCAGCATCACCGGCAGCCCCGCCTTCTTCTGCGTCTCCTGTGGACCGCCACCACCACATGTACTTTACACTGCTTGCTACATTCCTTAGAATATCGCTATTTACATTTCCATGGTACAACCATTGAGTTATAATATATACGTTTTAATAATTTAATAATATATACGCTTAACAGCAGATTGAAGAATTTTAACACTAGAGAAATTGTTATTAAAATTTGTAAAATCAGTCAGAATTGAATGAATTTTAATCAAATTTGCACACCGTGTGCAGTTTGGCCCAACTTGAGAGATAGGGTAGTTTTTTTGCCCATAAGTGGCCCACAATTTTTTTGCAAATTTAAAGATTTTTAATAGGACATGACAAAGGGTCGTCGAAAAGGACAGAACTACTAGAAGGCAAGCTGGTATATTATATAATATAGGATACAACATTTTTTGTCATATTAAATGAATAACACACATGCGTCATGCACACTGTTCTGTACTTACTTTACTTTAAGCAGTTTAAGATGGGAAATGTATAACCGATATTTTATTTTTGCACAATGTAATGACCCGATGTACTGATAACTCTCAATTGCTTGCATAATTGAGATTTATGACCCCATTCCTTCAATACTATTGTTGATAGAAAACGTCCTAACTACCCGCTGTTGAGCCGCGTGTATAGATAGTTACACGCGCGCACACATAAACATGCACACAAACACACACGCACGCCCACGTACCAGCAGCAGCACCTCGAGGCGCGCCACGCGGTCGTGCAGCGCGGAGAGCGCGGTGGCGTACTCGCGGTGCGCGTCGCGCAGCGCGGCGCTCCACCACTCCTCGCGCGCGCGCACCATGGCCCGCGTACGTCGCCACCCACGCAGTGCCCGTCGCGCCTACGGGTAAGGAACACTTTATAAAAATTTAAAATTTCAACAAAAATAACACAGTGACTGTTTTCGACACAAAAAACTTTTAAATGAATTAGCACAAAACACAACCACACTGGGATAGCGTGGCGATGTTGTCAGCATCGATTAGCCAGTAAATTATATTTTAATGTATAGCAGCTAGCTTACATAGAGACGATTTAGCGAAAACGTGTTCAAATTGAAAACGTTACAGTTAAAATATATCAAAAGTCATAGCATAGACTTTTCTTAAGACCGATTTACACTTCGACTAGTACAGTAGCGAGTTTAGTTACAGGGCAGGTGACAGTAAACGGTTAAGTGGGCAGTAGCGTTCAAACAATGTCTTCGTAGCGAGTTTAGTTTAGAACATTAGTTCATAGAGTTTGTTGGGGTATGACATTTCAAGACTACAGAATTTTTCCGGTTTTCGTTTAAAATGGTTCTAGGATTACGTCAAGAGTTAAATGATCTAGTCAGAGAAGTATTAATGGTTGTTGTTAAAGAAGTTTTTAAGAATTTTCGTGAGTGCAGCATCTCGAGCAGGTTTAATTTTACAATTTGAACTTCTACTATTATTATATAAACATTCGTGTTCTAAATACTCCTGTACGAATTTATACGTGATATCTTCTGTCCATTTTATTATTAAAACTCAATATAAAACGTATAAATATTTAATAAACAGTATTGTACAAACTTTGTGGCGAGTTTCATTATAAAAGTACAATTGTACGTTTTGGCGCGCAAACGTTGCGTCCTGTCAGCTTAGGCACTGAACTAAACTCGCTCGTTTACACGAACGGCGAGTTTAGTTGCAGGTGGCGGGAGACGCGCGGGAGGACAGCATTTCGAACTTAACTCGCCGATAAATAGCTCGGCCGGCTATCCCGTTCAACTTAATCGTTAACTTGCTACTTAACTCGCTTATTGCCGTTCAAACGAGGTTCAAACTTAACTCGCCAGGTTCGCAAGTTAACTCGCTACTGTACTTGTCGAAGTGTAAATCGGTCTTTATATATTGACATACTGAACTCAGTTTATTTTAATTTTATAAATCTTTAGTTTTTTACTTATAAATTACAAACAAGACGCCGCTACCTATCTTCCAGTTTAATTTCCTTTTGTCATCCCTTACCACATCCATGAAATGACATGGGGTAATGCATATTTTTACACAGCTACTACACAAAAACAAAGAACGAAAAACAAAAGCGTAACTACAACAAATACTCAAGTTGTTAAGTCTTAACAACTTTGGCAAGTTAGCGATGCTGTTAAGAAAATAAATGACTAGTTGTAGTAGTGAGGTGTACCTTGTCGTACTTGCGGTGCGCTTCGGCGGCGCGCGCGATGGCATGGTGCGGCGGGGTGGGCGGCGGCGCGGGCGCGCGCCGCGCACACCACTCCCGCACGCGCGCGCTTATCTCGTCGCTGCGCCCGCCGCCCGCCTCCATGCCCACCAGCTGCAACAAACACCACCCCGCCTCAGACAACTCGCAACTACCATCATGCTGCATCGTCATTTGAACATAGACCTCACATAAGGAATGCCACAGAACACGGTACCGAACCACCTGCATCCATCGACTTCCTCCTCCTAGTGAGGGACCACCCTACACTTATCTGGACGAGGCTGCCACTAAAGTACCTTTCTTACCTAACGGTTGGCTCTTCAAGGGTCAGCCCATTGGCACTTCAGCTTGCTGATCTGTTGAACTATGTCAAGTACTCTGGTTCTACTGCGAATAACCTTATTACGAATTATATCACACAAAAAAACTGTAAGCATAGGCCTTTCCAAAGCTTGCCGAGTGACCTAAGTGTTTTCACACGACCAGCAATGAAGAACCACTATGCAATACTCCATACAATACTGACACCTATTTTATATCTATACATCTGTTGGTCTTGTGGTCGTTAACGCGTTGATCATAAGGTCACGGCTCATAACCCCGGGTCGGGCCAAAATGCTGTTTCACCCCTGGACCCCGTAATAAACATATTGATCCTACGCCTTATCTTTCTCCCGAGGTATTACAAGTTCGATCAATTATATATGTCTGCGTGTGAAACCGTAGCTTTTAAACAGGTGAATAGATTTGGGTGCGGTTTTTTTTTTAAATTTAAAAGCAGGTTTCTTAGCGGTGGTTCTCAAACATATGTGCAGTGTTATATTAAGTATATGCAGTTTGAAGATCATCATCAGCTTTTTTGTTTCGGAGGTTTTCAAAATGTTCAATTTAAGTTATCTCCTAACATTGGTTTTTAATGAATTGTTCAGACTTGCTAATTGTTCAGACACTAAATTCAATAATTCCGATAGCAATAAAAGAGTATAACCTAAATTATCTGTTCAAAAATAAAAATCTTTGATTTACGTCGGACTGTGACTTTTAGTGTAACTGATCCTTTTCTAACAACATTTTATTATTCTGAAAAACGAGATAGACTCTTACATAATATGAGGAAGGTGGTTATAGTAATCTTATGTACACTTACAGGGGAGTAGGGGGGTGTCAAAATCGCCAAAATCATCTTTACATAATTAATAAATGGCCTCTAATTTAGAATTTAACATCTTCCCACATAAAGTCCGTTCGAATAAAGAATGGGATTAGAAATGGCGACTCATCGAACTCTTGCCGTCAAGATACACGTTATAACGTTATATAATTTGGTTAATTGTAAATTTTGTATTAATGGGATTTGAAAAGAATTGTATACGCAAGTAGATTATTTTAAATTTAAAACAACATTTATTACTAGCCATCCGCTCTGACTTCGCGTGGATGAGATCTATTAATGTGGCGTTATTTAACTTAAGATAATCATTAAAGAACATTTATTTCATCTTATCAATATTTCTGTTTTAATGAAATCACTAATTTTTTCTGATAAAATTTAGTCTAGATCGCTTCTGGTATTTTGTTCGTGAAGTTTTATTACAGTCGTTTCAGCCGTTTTGAATATTAAACAGACAAACGAAAATTTTAAAAATGGTTACTCATGCGTCAATGTAAATATATTGTATAAAATATTAACAAACACAATCAACAACAATTATGAAGAAAACCCTTAGAAAGCGACTAGCTCACAAATTAGCGAAACCGGAATGAATTATTTTTTTGTAGTTTAAAAATGGTATTTTGTTATCATTGATGCCATTGACAAGTCGGACAGAAATTACAGGACATACGAAAAACGCATATCGCAACGTATTTTTTGCAGTCGTTACCGGCAGGTGTGAGTATAGATATCAATAGTGTGCGAGCGAGAGGTGAATAAAGGCGACGCCATTTTCAATCCCATTCTTTTACTGCATGGGTAGTACAAATATAATTACATACAAATCTCTAGTATGTACTTAGTACGAAACATAGTAATATACTAATCAAAGTTCTGGTGATTTGGTATTCTTCTCATACACCTATTTGTTTTGGTTTGGTAGTAGCTTTAACAAGTTTCTGTCTCTGATTTCAATTTTAAATACTTCTTGTGTTTGTATATCTTAACACTAAGTGTAAGTAGGTATCTTAACACTAGGTAATTAAATTTTAAAAGAAAATTAATTCAAAACGATTTGTGAAATGAAAAGGTAATATTGTAATGCATTTAAAGAATTTCTTAACTAATCTTGATTTCTCTCTACTTACCTCTTGTAAAAAGGCGCGTATTTCGTTGATTTCGGGATGCTTTGCCTGTGAGACGGCAGTATCGGCAGAGGACTGCTGGTTGCTGTCTTCCTCCTCCACCTGTTGGCGACGTTGTCGCTCACGAGCGGCCCTGAAATCATTTCGAAAGCGAAAATTGTTTGAGAATCTATTAAACCAGTGATTCTTTGCGTTTAGCTAATATGTTAAGCAGGAAAAAAAGTTAATTTGGAAAAATCAGCATGTAAAAAATAAACTCGTATAAATGTTCTTTTAGCGGCGATATAAAAATGCCTACGACTACAGACATATCGAAAAGACGTTACACAAGAAAATAACAGCTTAGGTGTGCTGTTTAAAGACTTCATTATCATTTTCTAAACACTATGGGTGCATAACACATTAAGAACATCATCATCATCATCATTACAGCCCTTCACAAGTCCACTGCTGAACATAGGCCTCCCCCAAGTAATGCCACAAAGCACGGTCCTGAGCCACCTGCATCCATCGACTTCCTGCATGTCTGACCAGGTCGTCACTCCATCTAGTGGGGGGTCACCCTACACTACGCCTACCGGTACGAGGCTGCCACTCGAGAACCTTTCTTCCCCATCGGTTATCGGTTCTTCGAGCTATATGGCCGGCCCATTGCCACTTCAGCTTACTAATCCGTTGGGCTATGTCGGTCACTCTGGTTTCACTGCGGATATCCTCATTTCTGAGTCTATCACGCAGTGAAACTCTGAGCATAGCCCTCTCCATAGCTTGAGCGTCCTCATATGGCCAGCGGTGAAGGATCACGTCTCAGATCCGTAAGTCATCACATTAAGAACAACACAACTGCATTTTTTTATTACTTTCATCAGGAAGACGCTGCTGTCCAGATCTCATCTCCCTTTAGCCGTGAAAGGTAAAGAAGATATCTCCCACCGGGCACGGTGTTCAGCCCGGAGAGCGGCCAATTTTGCTACTCTATATATAATGCTTTACTTTGGAACTTTGATAGCATGATTTAGGCTTCGATGTGTTTCGCTTGTGGCCCGACGACAGGGCCGCCACATCACCCCCTGCTCAGACTGGAGGTCGATAGTGCAATCTGATTGCCGGTGTGTAATGCAGTATCCTCTGTCTTACGACAACAACGGGATGATGGTATGGTAGTGGAATCTCTTATACCGGCACTATACGGCAATTCTATATGTAGCGCATCCATAATATTCCGGTTGGATCTCGTGACTAGTTGGAATTGAGGGTATATCGAGAAACCCTCCCACTCGTTTGTGCAGTATAAAGTTCTGTGTAGGTGCAGAGCGCGCGAGATTCCGCTTGAGTCGTTTCACAAGTGTCAGAAGTCATTCTACGCGTGCTAAGATAGTTGTTGTTCTGTCCATTGTGGTGATTCTTCTGGTGCAGACAAGGAGGATAGTGTTGCTGAGAGACTGTGCTGTGTTACGTTGAGATGGGTAAGGTTGCTGTTGTATTTGAATAATTTGGTTTTGAACACAACTACATGTGTCCTTCACATTGCACTGGTGTGTAATTGTGATGGGGACATACTGCGGTATGGTCTAACTGTAATTACGCTATGCTGAATGTATAGAGCGTCACGCTGTCCTATTATTAATAATGATAAATTGCGCAAGCAAGAGAGCAAGTTGAACATCAGCTCTCACACTTTTACCATTTTTAATATAAATTAACGCTATCCTGTTATTTCCCACATAATTGCCTTATCGTGTTGTACTTTCCGACATATAAAATTTGAAATTTTATTGTTTACTTTAAATTCATTTCTAACTAATGAGTTGCAAGAAGTACATTACCTCTCTTCTCTTTCCTTGTCAGCGGCAAGTGACTGGCGTATCAGGTGCGCCACTTCGCTGTTCTCCGGATCTTTTTCCCGACCGATGAGGAATTTAACGGGGCCCGACGTATTACGTAGAACAGATGCTGCATAGGCTTGCGTGACTCCTACCTGAAAACGAAATATAAAAGATTTAATGGTTTAAGGCAATTTAGTAAATAAGTTAGGATGACTGACCCAAATGCTAGCCCAGCACCAATTATTAATTAGCATTATAAGTTAATGTTTAATATTGCGTCAAAAAGTGATTAAAAAAGTCGTCTTGCAGATATTGGTAGTTTTTAACTATTTTGATTCATTGAAGGTACGATTGTACTTTCCGTTTAACAATCAATTTGTGTATTTAGTGGTTAAGCACTGGATTTTCATAAGTAATATATATATAATGTATAAATATACTAGAATAGTAAAGACCTCCTTTCATAAAAAAAAAAAACATGAAAAATGAGCACATTATAAGAGGTATCTATTCTATTCTACTTACTTACACTTGCATTTTGTTTTTTAATCGATATAATTAAGACACCTTGATAAAATGCACCTCCTTGCATCGAATAGTATGGGTCTATGACACGACTAACGAAACTGAAATTTTGATATAAGTAAATTCATGTCTTTATCTTGAATTTGCTTGCTCAAAAACACGATTGTATAATTTTGACTCGATCATAATTATTTGCGAAAACACCTCTAAAAATCACTATAGTTGAAATTACACCGAAATTACTTAATCTATGTGCTTGGGAATCACTCAAATGTATTCGTAACGTCAATATTTATAATTTAGTTGAGCATTATTGTGATTACTTAATTCATTAATTTTTTTAAAATATTTTAAGATTCCGACAATTTCTAAGCGTGTTAATCGTCGCGGACGCTACGCAATTTTAGACGTTATGACGGCGTTTTAAAGTTTTACGCATTACGCATCTGCATTTTGATTTGTAATCGAAGATAGATGTAGATGTCTATGGGCCGCAGCAACCACTTACCATCAGGTAGACTGTGTGCTTGTTTGTCACACTATCCTATAAAAGAAAAGATGTGTGTGATGTTTGAGATGGGTGACGACCCGTGAGGACTACTGAGATGGAATGCCTCGTTTCCAGTAAAAAGGGTCTCCGGTTCTCTACACTCACCATACGAAACAGCAGCATTACGCTACTATTTTACGCTAGTATTCTGTGAGATCGTGGTCCTTCCCCGGACGAGCAGGCCCATTCGTGCTACAACTACTAATACATAATATAACTGCAGCATGACTCCACCACGTTAAATGACACTTGAATCATTAGGTTTTCTACGCGTGGTTGCTTATAGCTGCATTTTAGTTATTTTTTGTGGGAAAAAAACATGACATTTGACTAAATGCTACCTATATAGGTATATTGACAACATCCATATACTGGCCGTATATCTAGATAAGGAATCGGCACTCCACACTCTTGTAATATCCACTATAAGCTTGCCTGCTTCAACCTAAGCTTTGTACGTCGGTGTAGGTAACATTCTGTTGGTCGTTATACAACTCAATACGCACTATTAGGACAGTAATCCGATGGAGACGCTGTGACTGCGCTCTATATTATTCTCAGTGACATTAACGAGTTTTTTTTTTTCTATTATTGCAACCTCCAATTTTGGGAAGATTGTCACAAGAATTAAAACCAACAGTTGCGCTAGTACAGTAAAAATATCAAATTTACTAGACCTAAAGATAGACCCTTGTCGTTTATAAATAACAAAAATCATCTATGTTTAGGAGCAACGCCTGACAGTTTTATAGGAAGTAACACCCTGTTTGAAATCAGATGTCCCATAATTGCATACAAGGTCGGTATTGACGAAGTCATAATACAAGACAAAATGCATTTCTGGCGGGTAAATAAAAAAGTGGTATGATCCAGGTGAACAAAAATTCCGATTGGTACATGCAAGTTCAAAGACAGGTGCATATTTCCGAAATATCTAAATGCTTATTGGCAGTATGGTATAGACGTTATTAAATCAAAGTGGAAACAATAGTAAAGGATGACCAATTTTCAAAGGATAAAATGGAGAAAAACTACTTTCATTTTATTTTCACTGCTTGCTACCGGAATTGGTAGAACAGCGACTTACTCGTAATTAACAAATTTGGGATCCAAAAAATGTAACAAAAAAGAAAATGTGCATAATGGCCCTAAAACAAGTTACAAGTTCTGTTATATTGAATATAAAACTGATATATTGTATATGTATATATCAGTTTTAAAAATTATAACTTAGTTATTATTTCAATACATTAAAAAAAATAAGCTTTGTTGATTTCTCTTTTGATAAACTAACATGACGACAACAACAATGACATATACAGTTACATTTTATTATACAACAAGACAATAAATAATGCAAAATATTAAAAACATTAAAAATAATAGTGTGTCGCGACTCCGACGCTTGCTTGTTCCTTTCTGTATATCGCGCGTTGACCTCCGATTGAGCATTTGGCGCGAGTTTGAAATTTTAGGAACCGAGTGACGAGTGTCGCAAGCGGGGCGCGGGGTGGAATAGGCGGTGCCATTTTAATCGTTTATTTTCAATGTGTCGTCTTAAGCTATTGCATAGCTTTTATCGCGGGCTTTGAGAGTGGCGACCGAATCAAGTAATTCCGTAACGAAAATAAACCTAAGACCCCAAAACCTACCATCGTCTAATGTCGTTTCAGTTCGGCAGACTTCGGCACGGTGCTTGTTTGCGTGCGACTAGACGTATGCGTGTACACTAGTTGTATGTATTGTAAGATAATAAAAATATTTTAAACAATAATATAGTTTATTGCAATAAGCATATTCTTTGCATTTATATGAGTCGTCGTCATGCTAGCAACTTTCGTGAATTTAGAGTATTAAATAAACACAGACTTTATACTTAAATATATTTTTTAAATTTATAGATTATTTTTGATAGCACGTTTGGCGCAGTGGCTGAACCACCCTAATGGAGCATCGCGGATCATGGGTTCGATTCCCGCATGGAGCAAACAGTTTTGCTAACAAAGAAAAAAATCTGCATAAATAAAATAAATAAATAATTATAATTGCATAAGTTGATAAAAAATGCTATGCAATAGCTATACCGCGGCAGTCCCCGAGTGCCATACGTATTTTTTTTAATCAAAATGCAGATGCCTTACTCAGTCATAATCAGTAAGAAGGGTCTCTGGATCTAGTCACTAATAATACGAAACGCAGTACTGTTACACTACTATTTTTTCTGGTGTTTTTTGATAGTTGTAGCCCATTTTCGAACCAACCCATTTGGTTTGCAACCCGTAATATAGCTGCAGCGGTACTCTTTTACATACTGATTAGTTCAGTTAGGTAATAGATATAGGTGCTTGTATGTACTTATTAGGGTACAAGAGAAAACACTGAAGCACTGACCAGGCTCTTGCCGTCGACCTCGATGATCTGGTCGTTGACGTGTATGCGTCCGTCGCGCGCGGCCGCTCCGCTCTCGGTGATGGTCTTCACGAAGATGCCCAGCTTCTCCAGCCCCGCGTCTGCGCCCACGCCCATGCCTGCGTTTGATATTTATGATCAGATCACCATATATATTTGAAATGGCAAAAGCTTCGGTTATAAAAGTTCAGACAATGAAAACGACAAAGGGCTTCCGACAAATGAAAAAACTGACTCTAAAAGTACACTTGGGGCATTTTTGGCTTTAGCCGCCTCAATCGGCAACCACCTATGCTACATTACTATCATTATTCCATTCGATCCGTAAGGGGCAATATGTGAAATGCCAGAAAAATTTCGTTTATGCCACACGTAACATAACTGGACTAGATTAGACGGGGAATAGTATCATAGGTATGGGACACACTGGTTCTGCAATGTCAACTGCCTGCTAATCGTGGTGCTTATCCCTACTAATGCAGTGGCTAAAGTGCCACAGTGATGTGTGATGGACAGATCTCAAAACAGCAAAAGAGATAGACAGAGCGTAGCGTACATTTAAAAGTGACGCCGAAACTAAAATAATACATAAGTTATTGTAAGAAAACATGCATTCACGTACATATGCATCTAACATCATTTGAAACCAATAACATGGTTTTAAGTGCATTTGTGTATGTATATCATGCAGAGCGCTTTTACACCTGTTAATCAAAGAATGAAGGAAAATTCGAACCAAACGCGTTGGAAAGGAATTGAATAATTTGCCACGACAGATGGTCTTTCTATCTAATTAAAATGTGATGTCAGTGAGCATTTCCATTTTTGGCTGCTTCATTTGTTACCGCTTCCAAACAATAGGCTTGTTGTCAAGCACTGGCTTATAATGGTTTAAAAAATACGTGTGCGTAAGTGAGGTCCAAAAAATGAGCATGATTTTGGCGTCATATGTAGCATTATTAATTATTTATTTTTTATTGTAACCTTACAATTATGGTAACAATAGGCGGACTTATACTCAACCAAATCTAAGAAATACTTTTTGACAGCTTATTGGACCAGGCCTGCCAACCAAAAGATCGTTACGTACAATATTCAATTCTTAAGAAAAATCGATATTGATTCTTTAGAGTTGGTAATCATTTACAATTTTGTTTCAATTAATACCACAATAAATTAGAAGAGAATAATTTAAAACATAAAATTTATGATATTTTTACTATTTATATTGTTACTGCTGTTTCTAGAGGCAAAGTTATAAAAAAAAAATTAAGATTGATACTTGATTAAAAATAAATTTATTCCATAACTTTCACTATAATTGTAGTGAAAGTGATTTTCAATAATGTAGTCAAAATGAATGTCCTTTCAGTCATTTTTATTTTCATCTTCAAGTGATTTTCTTTGTTTTCTCCACAACCTTTTACCAAACATCTTTTGTGCCATGAGTACATGCTTTAGCAAATCTTCCATCTTCTTCATCGTGAAAGGTGGCTTGGTGTTGTGTCGTGCTGTTTACCTTGTAAAAGAATAAGATATTTTCATCTCTTGTGTGTTTAGGTACAGTTAATATGTTTGTATTTAGAACATTTCATATAAGAACTAGGATTTGATTTGAGCCCAAATCAATTCCATAGCCTTGTATTGGCAGTGGTATAGTGGTAGTCTTATAACTGCTGCTAATCTGCTTCCTTTTTGGCTTGGGTTGGCACTTTGTCGAAAGAATGATATGAGGCGTTGTCCATTATTACGGCGCTATTCGCAGGAATATTTTGTAAAAGGGTAATAGACCACTCTGAATTTTTCTGCTTCCACTTCCTTGTGGTGTTTTCTTGTACTCTTTGAATGGAAAGCTAACAAACAATTTTCTACAAATCCTCCTCAACAGGGCATGGAATTTCCCCCCCGAACGGGTTCCCGCCTTGTTGTGGCGGGGGGGCTTAGAAGCCGTGGCTTGGTCACCCACGGCGAAACAAAGAGGAACCCATATGGCTGGTCCGAGGTGGAGGGCCGGCCCGAGGTGACCACTCCGAGTGGGCTTGGGAAGCCCACTTCGGATGTGTGTTGGTGGACTGCGGTGAGAGGTGTGTCCTCCCCACCTACCGCTGCAGCCGAGGTGGAGTCGCGGAGGAAGTGTTGGTATGGCGATGCGCCACTCGCCCTATCCTCCGCGACTCAAACGGGGCCGCACCGTTGATGCGGTGGTGATGGGGCTGCGTGGGGGAGAGGATTGTCGGTATTGCGAGGCGCCGCTCTCCCTATCCTCCGCAGCCGAATCTTGGTTGGCGGCGGAGCCATAGACCAGATCCGCCGCTGGGGTCGGGAAGGCTAGTACTTCTAAGTGCTCGTTTTTCCTGGCCCCATGGCCTTCGCGCATCGGACGCGGGGGCGTCTGTTGCGCAGATGTAATTGGAGGCCGTGGAGGAAGGCGTGCCATGTGTTCTGGTGCGCCTTACTTGGCAAGGAGAACGGGGAGGAATATTCCTCTCCCGATGAGGTGCTGCCATGGGGCGGCAGTCGCTGGAGGGGCCGAGGAAGTGTGCGAAAGCGTTCCCGTAGCCCTGCCAATATGCGACGAAGGTGGAACATCCCTGGGGTTTTAGTCGGTGCGAGTCCGACATAACCCGTCCTTGTCCCCGCGAGGCGGGTATGCGTAGGCATTTCCCCATGTTAAAAAAAAGGCATGGAATTTCCGCAAGGAAAATAATTTCACGCCAACCTTTTCCCAAAGGCACCTTCGAGTAAGATGCTGCAGTGTCATCTGTCCATATCTGCAGTACAGAGTGGTTGACGTTCATATTCGTTAATGAATAATGGTTGAACGCCAACCACGTTTCATCAACGAATATGACGTTGTCCCAAATGGTTATATTTTTCATTTATCTTAAAAATGTTATTCTTTGCAAGACTATGTCATGCCTCTCCATAATTATTCTTCCTTTATCATTTTTCTTTTGTATCGGAAGCCCATGCGTTTTAAAATGGTTCTCAATGACTTTAAACTTTCATTGTACAAACTGGTATCATACTAAACTTTCTTGCAACTTCGCCGCAGTAGGATATTCGCCTCTTGTGGAATAGCCGTAGAGATGGTTTCTAATAGCATCTGCGTCGAACCGATCGATACCAGTTACCGGTTTGTTATTTTTTCGTTTTTTCGACGTGTGCTAAGTAAATTATTCTCATTACCTGAAGACTCGTACTTTTCAGTGACAATCTTAGCAACGGTGCGTTTGCCAATTCTGAGTGCTTCATCGACAGGACGACACCCTACTTGTGTAGGTACTTTTACCAGTGACACAAGAGGCCCACCTTTTTGTGACTTACGTTCGAAATAATGGTAATTTCACCACCAATGCACGAGCATGACTGTTTAAAGTGAAATTACCACAACTAACCACCACTAATCCCAGCACCACTACTCCCAACACCAATATTCCAGGAAAGACACACCAATGACGATAATACGACACGTGTTTCACCTCTACACGAGGCATCCTCAGGTGATGTAGACTCTACGGCGGCTGACCTCAGGAAGTTAATTAATTTATATCTTTATTACCACAACCACGTCTTCTATTCGACTTTATGATCATTTTCTTAATCAGAGCCCAATATATATATATATATATATATATATATATATATATATATATATATATATATATATACAGTATATACTTGCCAAGGTCACCGAATATGCTATAATTAGCCCAAAAAGTTATAGTCCGAGTCACAAAATAAGAAGACAAACACAAAATCACAAAAGTAAGCACAGTAAGCTCCCAAAATGGCGGGAAAACGCGGCCTTGGATATAAGTTTTTTTTCGGCACAAACTTATGCTGATAAAGTAGGAAATTATTGATGTTTGATTTTTTTTATAGGATAGGGTGACAAACGAGCACACAGTCCACCTGATGGTAAGTGGTTGCTGTAGCCCATAGACATCTACATCTGTCCTCGATTACGAATCAAAATGCAGATGCGTTGTCACCCGTGAGGACTAAGATGGAATGCTTCGTTTCCAGTAAAAAGGGTCTCCGGTTCTCCACACTCACCATACGAAACACAGCACCATTAAACCACTATTTTACGCTGATATTCTGTGAAAGCGTGGTCCTTTACAGGTCGAGCCGACCCATTCGTGCTACAACTATACTCGTAATAGAACTGCAGCATGGCTCTACCACGTATAAAAATGAACTACAAGAAGTAAGCAAGTAAAAAAATAAATGAAAACTAAAATATACAAATAATAGATTGAAAAATTTAAAGATTCGGTTATTTGAACATTATTTTTACCGATTAATTGAATATTTTGCCGATTATTCCCATAACAATGAATTTTAGTCATAAAAACACTGCAAGGTACATGTCGTTGAAACGTCAGGCAGAAAAGAATCTGGGTAAATTTTTTATATTTTACTTTTCTTGAATGATTTAAGTATTGTATGAAGAATTCGTGCAGCATTAGAAGTAACAGTACTTAAATAAGTGATAAAGAACTTACATGTTGTAATGAAATGTAACTTCATAATTATTGAAATTTATGTAAAAGGTTTTTTAAATCTTGCGAGTATGCTCGTACAAAAGGTATTTCATAGATTTGGTTGACTATAGTTGAGTATAATGCTTGTAATTCTCTGCTAGTCAACCCGTAGCGTGGCGAGCTATTGTGTCTTGATGCTTTATCTTTGTTTATTTGTTGAGGGACTGATAGTGAAAAGACTCTGACCAACTTATCAGGATAAAATGTAAATTGCAGAGAGACGGCGGAAGGGCAAGTTACTGACCGATGATGGAGAGGCCGAGGCCGTCGGCGCCCTTGACGAGGTCGACGGGGAACACGTGCATCTTCTCGACGCGCTTCTCCAGCTCGTACTCGGCGGACGCGGCCACCGGGTCCACGTCCTCGTTGCGTCGGTCGTACTCGCGCACCGAGTGCGTCGAGAACACGCGCATCGGCTCCGTGCTGATGATCCCGACCAAATGCAAACACATTATTCATATTAACGGAAAACATAATATAATTAACTTTCTTAAGGTGATACCACGAAAATTTGGTGGTTTTTCTATTTAACATATTTTTTTTTAAGTTTTATAGATTACAAACCAAAATTTTGGTATATGATTTTTGACTATATGATCTTGGATTGCATAAAAGGAAAACATGATATCATGTAATTTTCTCGATAGAAAAAAATTGCAAAGTAGACTCTAATTATTTACATTTCTCGATGACACCACAATATTCTTACGAATAATGTCATGGAATTATTTTTAAGGTATAGTAAATAGTCATATCTAAGTTCTCATAAACCAGTTTTTAATCCATAACGAAGCTTTGTTAAAATAAATAAAAATGTTGTTTGGCGCTAACGTAGTTTTTTTCCGAGCGCTTGCTCGGTATGGCTATCTCATAATTTGCGTACTATAAAGTCATTGCATCACTTTCATTTTGACACTCCCACAGTCGTCCGTTAGCTTCACCGACAAAGGAATAAGCCACGCCCCCAAAACTTCGACACATTTTCAAGGTATCCTCTTAAGTGCGAAGAAATTTATTCAAAAATTGGCAAAAGTATAGAATAAAATACAACAATTTTTATTCTATACCAGCGATCGGCCCCGGCTTCGCACGGGTGAGTTTTGGATCTCGACAACAGCGCCACCTACCAAATCTAATTGCGATTAAACCATGCAAGAACCCACTCAAATTCATTAAAATCGGTCCAACCGTTTTCGAGTTTTAATGGGACTAATGGACAGTAATTATTTCTATATACACAGAGGTAATAAAAATGTATAAATTACACATAATTTTTATTGATGTCGCGTATCGTTGTCGTCGATTTCACCATTTATAATATAAACCAAATTTAATAAAATTACATAATGCTCATTCAAATACATATTACCAACTCTATTTTAATCGCATTTACGAAAACTAAATTTACATGAATGTCCTAACAACCATGGGCAGAAACTGGATTTTTTTCGTATTGGCAACATGTTGGCAACATAAGACCTACCCCGCACTACGACTTTATCCATGTGATTTTTTATCGCAAAAATGCAATATATGGGGTCAGTAGTATGTACGTGCGTAGTATGATTTGTCACAATTAGCTGTAACAGCTCGTGACGCGATTGTCGCGAAAGTGAACTGCAAAGTATGGAATTGTATGATCTCGAGCGCAATGCGATAAAATCTCGCGCATTAAAACGCAGCACTAGAGATGTTGCATCTTAAACATAATAGCCACTTACCATCAAGTGGTCTGTAAGTATCTTTGGCACTTTATGTTATACAAAAAAGCATACCTAAATTTAACTTTGGTATTCTTCTTAACAAATACAGGTGGGTAGTAGTCGTCATCTTCTTCTTCTTCTACGGGCGGTAGTCCAGCAACCTGAAACAGCAATTTCGTATAATTTCATAACTGTACCTGTAGTACAATAATTATTTACAACAATAGTGTAAAAAGTAAAGTTACAGCCTATATACGTCCCATTGCTGCGCGCAGGCCTCCACTCGTTTCTGAGAGGGTTTTAGGGCAAGGAAATGTCCGCCGCGCTGCCCCAATGCGTGTTGGCGAACTTCACGTCTTCGAAATATTTATTTTCTTATTACTCAGACATGCAGGTTTCCTCACCGCCGAGCACGTGGCAAATCAGCACTTAAAATTGTAATTAACAATTTCATTGGTGCCGGCGGGGATCGAACCCGGGTTACTCGCATTCTGTTATATTTACAGCGACCGTTAACCATCTGAGCTACCACGGCACGGCTTGACTATCTCGTTGGTCTAGTGGTTGTAGTAGTGCGACTGCTGATCTTGAGGTCCTGGGTTCGTATCTCGGGTCGGGCCAAAAAATTAATTATTGAGTTTTTCCGTCAAGAAATTCTCAGTAATTGCCCCGCAGTCAGGAAGTTGGCGGTGTCACCCCCGTGCCTCGGAAAGCACGTAAAGCCGTTGGTCCTGCGCCTGATCTCTCTCCGGTCGTGTCGGTTTACCGTCCCATCGGATTATGAGAGTGAGGGAAGAGAGAGTGCACCTGTGCTTGCGCATACACTTGGGCACTATAACCCTGTACTGCGCCGATGGCTAGCCTCCGTTGAGGCTGGCCGCCGTGGCCGAAATTCGGTCTGGAGGACATTATTACAACGGCTAACAATAGTGAAAGCAAGTAATATTGTTTTGGTCGATTTTAGCCAAAGCATTTGTTTTTTTCTAACAGTCAGAGACAGACCAGTTATACTGTCAAAGCTGTAAAGACCGATTTACACTTCGCCAAGTACAGTAGCGAGTTAACTTGCGAACCTGGCGAGTTAAGTTTGAACCTTGTTTGAACGGCAATAAGCGAGTTAAGTAGCAATTTAACGATTAAGTTGCACGGGATAGCCGGCCAAGCTATTTATCGGCGAGTTAAGTGCGAAATGCTGCCCTCCCGCGCGTCTCCCGCCACCCGCAACTAAACTCGCCGTTCGTGTAAACGAGCGAGTTTAGTTCAGTGCCTAAGCTGACAGGACGCAACGTTTGCGCGCCAAAACGTACAATTGTACTTTTATAAATAAACTCGCCACAAAGTTTGTACGATACTGATTATTGAATATTTATACGTTTTATATTGAGTTTTAATTAAAATGAACGGAAGATATCACGTATAAATTTGTACAGGAGTATCTAGAATACGAATGTTTATATAATAGTAGAAGTTCAAATTGTAAAATTAAACCTCTCGAGATGCTGCACTCATGAAAATTATTAAAAACTTTGAATAAAACTATTATTTACGGATTTTATCGCGTTTAATTACTTTAATTTATTTTTATTATTATCCCGACGTTTCGGGTGCTTTACAGCGCCCATGGTCACGGGGGGACTGAGATGTTTGACGTCCCAATGTCATAGTTAGTCCGGCTACCTTAAGTTTTTTTAATATTAATTTTGGTCCGATTTACGCAAAACGAGCTTATAGTATCATGAAGTCTTGCAGTGGTATGCTTGGGTTTGGGTTTAATTTTGTTAATTATAGGATCCCAAGCAGATGGTAGCACCCAACCATCTTCTCTATTGAAATTTGGATGTTTTTTAATTTCAATAGCCTCGCGTATCATCCTTGGTAGGAATCGGTGTTCTTTTGCGAGAATTTGTGGTTTATCAAATCTAATGTAATGGTGGGGACAATCTTGAACATGTTCGCAGACTGCAGACTTCCCGGAGCGTCGGTGCTTCACATCAGCTATATGTTCCTTCACGCGGGTTTTTATAGAATATATGAAGGAACATATAGCTGATGTGAAGCACCGACGCTCCGGGAAGTCTGCAGTCTGCGAACATGTTCAAGATCGTCCCCACCATTACATTAGATTTGATAAACCACAAATTCTCGCAAAAGAACACCGATTCCTACCAAGGATGATACGCGAGGCTATTGAAATTAAAAAACATCCAAATTTCAATAGAGAAGATGGTTGGGTGCTACCATCTGCTTGGGATCCTATAATTAACAAAATTAAACCCAAACCCAAGCATACCACTGCAAGACTTCATGATACTATAAGCTCGTTTTGCGTAAATCGGACCAAAAATTAATATTAAAAAACTGAAGGTAGCCGGACTAACTATGACATTGGGACGTCAAACATCTCAGTCCCCCCGTGACCATGGGCGCTGTAAAGCACCCGAAACGTCGGGATAATAATAAAAATAAATTAAAGTAATTAAACGCGATAAAATCCGTAAATAATAGTTTTATTCAATGTGTAGTGTTCGCGTAAATTTAAGAAATCATTATTAAAAACTTCTTTAACAACAACCATTAATACTTCTCTGACTGGATCATTTAAGTCTTGACGTAATCCTAGAACCATCTTAAACCATAAAAATTCTGTAGTCTTGAAACGCCATACTCTAACAAACTATGAACTGATGTCCTTAACTAAACTCGCCACGAAGACATTATTTGAACGCTACTGCCCACTTAACCGTTTAACGTCAACTGCCTTGTAACTAAACTCGCTACTGTACTTGTCGAAGTGTAAATCGATAAATTGCATTCGAAACCAATCCCATGGCTTATTAGACTACTACATAGATCTTTTTACAACATTACCTCAGTGTAGAAGTGTCCATCCTCGAAGTAATGAATGCCGTTCTCTTCGCCGAGCTCTCGTAACGGTTGTGGTGGGTAGTAGTCAAACACAGTCTCGGACGCGTCCGTGGAATTGGCCCGCCCGACATCCACTTGCTGAACATGTACAGCGTGTTTGAGGTGTTGCAATTGCTCGGCAGGTTCCGCTCGTTGCATGTGTTCCATTTGTTGCGTGTGTTCCGCTTCCTTTACGTCTTCCGTTTGTTGAACATGTTCCACGTGCTGTTCGTGTTCGTCGTCGTGACATCTATCGCCGGCTGCCATCCCGGCGTCCGCTTCCAGCGAGACAAATTCGTAGCTCTCGTCCACTGACTGTATGCTGGATAAATGGAAAATGGAAAAAGACAACAGGTTTATAAGTCTGTTCCTGCTTTTATCATTATAATTTTACAATGCGTGCTCAACAAATATTATCGTGTGATAAAGGCAACGGTTAATACACATACATCAAACAAGAATATTCCACAAAAATTTGTATTTTTTTTATAAATTGTGAAACTAGTAAGAAGTCAACCCAAAGTGCAAAGATGGAGATGACTTATGATGTTTTTGATTGACTGATGATGTTTCACCAAGTAACAACAATCGCAAGAATAAATTATAGAATACTATTTGTTTATCTTTTAGCCTAAAATTTAAGGTACATAGCAAAATCTTTGTGGAAAAAATTCATCACAACTATCCAAAACTATTAAAATTTTTAGAGTATGTACTATTTTTGCTAGGGATGGACCGAATATTCGTTTTATATTCGGTATTCAGCATATTCGGCAGCTTTACCGAATATTCGTATTCGGCCGAATATTCGACTATCACCGAATACTCGTTAAAGTGGTACTCAAAGTGTCCACTGTATTTAAATGTACGAATTGAGAAATGCCATGTCTTTCATAATTTTACTGTTTGAAAGTATATTTTATTTATGGGTTAAAACTACTTGTATAGCATAATGTTTTAAGCATGTACCGGTAATTTGCTCCGTACTAAATAATGCAACAACATGTCAGGTGTGGCGGGGGAGCGATAGGCAGGGTCCGACGATAATCCCGCGCACTTTACGGTAACAAGTTTTGACATAAATTGATGTACCGAGGTGATCCTGCCGAATAAAGTTCGGCCGAATATTCGGTTCGGTAAAAGTTTTACCGAACATTCGGCCGAATATTCGTATTCGGCCCATCTCTAATTTTTACATTTAATTATCTTTCCTTGCAATTTAAAGTGCTTACTTATGGCTATTTAAGAATTATGGGTCCATACCAGATTAGGCTTTTAATTTAGTAAATACCAGGGAAATAAATTTAATTTTAAGTGGATTTACTGTGACGTGAACGGCGAAAGAAATTATTGTGAGAAAATCTGCATCATCATCATTACAGCCCTTCACAAGTCTACTGCTGAACATGGGCCTCCCCCAAGTAATGCCACAAAGCACGGTCCTGAGCCACCTGCATCCATCGACTTCCTGCATGTCTTACCAGGTCGTCACTCCATCTAGTGGAGGGTCGCTCTACACTTCGCCTACCGGTACGAGGCTGCCGCTGAAAATCTGCATGTGTATAATAAATTAAATAAAAGCAAAGTATATATATTCGACTTCGTTTTGTCGAGTTTGCAATGACCTTAAACCGACATCGTGATACTCGGACGGCGTTGCCTGCGTGAGACTCGTTATCGGCGATTACGCTTAACATTGTAAAGCGAAGTAGAATAATGGGCGGGTTCAATTTAAAATCGTTTGGCAAGAATTTGGAGGAATAAAACTAAATTTACGGATTCTATCGCGTTTAATTAACTACTTTTACTTATTTTTAATTCCCGACCTTTCGGGTGCTTTACAGCATAGTCACGGGGGGGAGGGACTTAGATGTTTGACGTCCCAGTGTCATTGTTAGCCCGGCTACCTTCATTATTTTAATACTAATTTTTCGATCCGATCTACGCAAAACGTGCTTACAGTATCAGTAGCATAATAATAGTTAAGTATCAGAGTTTTATTCAATGTGTATAGTCCAGTCATTATAGTAAGTTCACCTCGGAATTCGAGTAATTAAGGAAGTAAGTTTGAAATTTACCAGCAGCCGGAAGACGTCGATGAACAGGAAGAAGATGATTAAAATTATAAATTGTAGTTTTTGTACCCTTTATTCCATTTTTTTTACTTTTAACAAAAATAAATGTATTTAATGATATTTTTTAATAAAAGGATTAATTCATAATTTATTTGTTTTTTTTTTCATCACGTAAGAAGTTATTAATATTAATTAGATTATAATTCTAATATAATTCCTATTTTGCATTAACAATTCTGCAATTATATGGGCAGGTAAGTGTTGTTAAATAAATTAATACTGAATAAAAAGTGGATAGGTTAGGAAAAAAATGATAAAATATAATATAATAGTTAATAAAAATTGACAAATATTTATAATCATAGATTTATCGATAGTTCATCAACTATATATGGCGCGTTTTCGACCGAAGGCACCGGTTGACCTGTAGTGATGCTGTGACCGTGCGCTCTCCGCCCTCTATCTCGAAAACGGTTCACCGTATAAATAATTTTTTAAACAAAATTTTTAGAGAATTTTGTATTCTACAATATTGATAATAAATACAAATAGCAAAGAAAACATAGGAAATGAGATATTTACAAGAAAAGCGCAAAAAACCGATTTTTGTGACCTTTGACCTTGAAATTTAATAATTGCGTACACCCTACCATATATAGGTTTTGAGACAACTTTTAGAGTGTCAATATACAAGTATTTACAGACTCTTACAGCTGGGGATCTCGAATTCCAAGATTCTTACCTAATTTAAGCTTAAATGATTGGATTAGTAGTGTTCGCGTAAAGTTAAGAAATCATTATAAGAATTTGGAGGATTAAGGTGTTGTAGGTGCTGGTTTGGTAGAGGTTTGGTCCCCGATTATAACAATATCACTCGCATTAAAAGGTGATTTTACACTGTTTCGAGAAAATAAAAAAAATACTTTGGAAAATCCAAAAGTGCGCGCCTTATTAGTGTTTTTTTTTTTTTTATCAAAATCTCATATACTTTTGATGAAAAAAAATTTTAAAACATTTATGAGTCTGATAACAACCAGCAATAGGGATCATCCTGAGTATAAATGGAAACTTATTCAGAAAGATTTACTTCATTTCGTTACATATATTTTTCTTAAACGTCAAGACAAACAAGTGCACAGACTATATATTTATAAAACATGCTGACTATATAATAAATTAATTTATAAAACATGCTGACTTTGTAACTTAATATATCTAGTATTCAAAACATCCTTTTCTATGGATTTAGTGTCTAAATTGAGACATACTAACAATTTTATATAGCAAAATCTCGCGCGTTGGTTGGCGGGCAAAACTATTATAACCTAAAAATGGGTAAAACATGAAAAAACTCCTACCAAACGATTCTAAATTTTTACCTAACGGTCTAGTGAAGGCTGGACGTTTTTGTAATCTTGTGAATCCGTCATATGAATATTGATTGGTGTGGTGCGCTCACCTCTCGTAGGAGAGCACGGACTGGTAGCTGTCGTTGAGCGAGACGCCGTTGTCGTGCGGCAGCGCGTGCGGCGACAGCATGGCCACGATCTCCTGCGCCTGCTCGTCCGACAGCAGAGCCTCTTGTCTGCACACCACACATACACACATTTAACGTCCGGAATTGAAAATACGGTTCCAAATTTCGGTACGTTTCCGTTTTTGATGGGTTTCGGTTTTAACATACAGGTTCCAAAATACCCAAAATTTTAGGTTCCAATTCAATATGGAAAGGCTTCTTAGTGTTGTAGTCTATATTCCCACAACGACTAAACTGTCGTTAGGATGGCTGATTAATAGTGTGCTCATCTGCCTGCATGACGTTGGTGCGTTTGGTTGGTGCAGTCATTGAAAAACGTGAGGCTAATTCAAGGATAATACGATACTATTGCACAGTAGCTATTACGCACAATATAAAATCCAATGCGATTCGTTGCTTACATAAAAATTATACATCAACAGGACCATTATGAAATGTAATAACTATTTTGAGGAAAGCTATAAAATTAAAATCAAATCAGCATCAAAATTAAATTTGATTAAAACCTAAAACACTTATGAGTATATGAATCAGAAACCACAACAATAATATACAATATATAATAATCGCCATTCTTACGACTTTAGTGAATCCGTTGTCGCTTCTTAGGACTCATATGCACTATGCAGTTAACCGCAAGCAAAAATATATACGTAACATCTATTTCTATGCGCTTTGCGATGGGGCTACCTGCAAACCTCTCCGGTCACTCGGAGGGCTGCAGCCCGAATGACGGCCAGCCGGACGGTTGCTATTCGCAATTCGAACTGTGCAGATGTGCGGCTCAGCTTACGGCTACCCGCTATTGAGTGAGATTGTGTGCACGTGGTAAGTTTTTGATGGGTACCGAAAAATTTATCATCGAAATCTAGAGTCGTCCACCTATTTGGAACAACAAATTTGCCAGAATATTCCGATAAAATTTTAAAACAAAGAGCATTGGAAGAGTTGGTGCATATTTATCACGGTTTTGACAAAGAAGGAAAAAAATGAGCTAGGTAGGTAAATATCAAAATCATACATAATACATAAACACTCACGCCTGTCACCCAGAGGGGTAGGCAGAGACTACAGACTTCCATTTGGCACGATCCTGACACACCTCTCTCGCCTCCTTCGCATCCATATACCTACGCATACATGCTCGTCGGTTAAGGGTGCTCCTAATTTGGCCCCTTTGCAATAAATCGCTAGGTCGATAAATTTTCGCCTAGGACGTCCCTTTCCGACTCTGCCATTCACTTCTACAACATAAATTTTCTTTGTCACTCTTTCCTCATTGATTCTTTCCACATGACCAAACCACCGAAGCATTCCTTTCTTGAAATAATACTAGTTTTTACGGAATTTATCGCGTATATTTAATTTTTAAATTCTCGACGTTTCGAGAGCTTTACAGCACCCATGGTCACAGGAAGGACTGAGATGTTCAACGTCCAGATGTCATAGTTAACCGCGGTTACCATAGATTAAAATTTAACTTTTGTTCCGATCTATACAGTATGAACTTATGGTATCATGAAGTCTTGCAGTTGTATGCTTGGGTTGGGATATAATTTTATTTATTATAGGATCCTAAGCAGATGGTAGCACCCAGCCATCTTCTCTATTGAAATTAGGATGTTTTTTTGATTTCAATAGCCTCGCGAATCATCCTTGGAAGGAATCGGTGTTCTTTAGCGAGGATTTGTGGTCTATCAAATCTGATGTAGTGACGGGGGCGATCCTGTACATGTTCACAGACTGCAAACTTCCCGGAGCGTCGATTCTTCACATCAGCTATATGTTCTTTGACGCGGGTTTTAATTGATCTTTTAGTTTGTCTTGTGTGGACAAACTAAAAGATCGACGCCCCCGTCACTATATCAGATTTGATAGACCACAAATCCTCGCTAAAGAACACCGATTCCTTCCTGTATAGATCGGAACAAAAGTTAAATTTTAATCTATGGTAACCGCGGTTAACTATGACATTTGGACGTTGAACATCTCAGTCCTTCCCATGACCATGGGTGCTGTAAAGCTCTCGAAACGTCGGGTATTTAAAAAGTTAAATATACGCGATAAATTCCTTAAAAACTAGTATTATTTCAATGTGTAGTGTTCGCGTAAATATAAGAAATCATTCCTTTCCTAATCCTGGTCACAACATCATCTTGCCACCCACACTCTTCTCTTATCACACAATTTCTCACCCTGTCATTCAGATTCAGCCCTAACATACTCCTTAACGACCGCATTTCTACTGCGTTTATTCTACTCTCGTGCTTCTTCTGCCACACTCAATATTCACTACCATACCTTAAAGTAGGGACCAAGACAGCATTGTGAATTGCGATGCGTGCCTTTTTTGACATATTTTGACTCTTTACAATAGAGTGTAGGGCCCCATTTACTCTAATAGGGCTCTATTTCCTGCGTTTATCTTCTCTTTACAAAATCACTTTATTTAAATGTAATTATCTTGCTATTCTACCCTTCCTTCATGCAAATTTAGTAAATAACTGCAACTTCTTTCAAGACCATCATTGAAATGAATAGATAGGACCAATGACCACCGCAAATTGTAACGCTTCTTCAACCGCAAGTTGCGGTTGCGAATGCGGCTGCTCGCAATCCGGTTGGCCGCATTACAAGGCTAGCCGGACGGATGGACCCGCGTAATGTGATAAGCCCTTATATAGCTTTATTTTTAAATTACTGCTTCGAATCTTACAAATAATGTTATTATTGTGTGATGTTTTCATTGAAAATATCATTTTATGACTGTCACTCAATGAAATTATACAAGGTATTTCGTTTGTTTTGCTCGTTTATCGACAAAATAAAAAGTAGTGGTTCGGACACAGTTCCTTATCGGTATTATTGGAAACTTTTCAATACCACATAGCATAAATGTTAGCATCTTTCTTTGCAAGTACAATATTGCCACCCGAAATTACTAGGCGATTAATTTAATATATATTAAGGGTATGTTCCGAAATACAACATAGTGTACTGTCCAATGCAAATGACGTCATGAATCGACGCTATACTGGTGATTCGTTCCAAAACATTGGACATTATATGACGTCATACTTTTGCGCCATTTGGAAAAGTGTTGGCGATTATTTTGTCATTTTGTGCTCCAAAAATCATTATATCCTCCTAATGGATATACCATCAATTATTCTATAATTTTTTGTATTTGAATAAATAGAAACAAATTCTGGCATGCTTCATTCGGCAAACACACAATTAAAAATTGTTTTATTATGGCCGGATATCCGACACAATATGGCGGCGGCACGCTAGTACAATAAAGTGTCAAATGATACGTCATTTGCATTGGACAGTACACTGCGTTGTATTTCGGAACATACCCTTTATTTATTAGAAGATATACAAAATATTATTACTTTCAACACTGAACGAGAAAATAATATTACTCATCAACTGTTGTGAATATTGCAGGAATTCAAAAATGATAAAATAATTTTGTAATATTTCACAATTATTGTATAAACCACTTTAAGTTTTAACTTGTAATCACAAAGTGTTAAACATTAAATGCAAATGGCTGACTATAAACAGCGGTGCTTTAAAGTTCACATTTTAAAAGAAATAATTGAGAATTAGTTTGTTAACAAACTTAAATAAAATGTAGTTTGTTAATTACGTTACAATGTTTGAATAAATTACAGTAATCTACATTAATTCTACAACTAACTAATATTATGTAGCATAACATATACAATCTAAAACTACATATGAAGCGAGCTTACCTAAGTTTTTTCTCCAGAATACTGCAAATGTGATCGGGCAAGAATGAAGCGTTGTGCGCACAGGCAGCATGCAAATAGTAAAAAAAATCGACATTTAATTCATTAACAAGCATAGAGACGTAATTACAACAGAAGGAAATATAGATTTACGTTATACACTTACTACCTAGAGCAAAAAAGTTTAAAGTAACATACAGTGCGTGCTACAATATGGTTTAACAAAGTATTTTGTGAAACGTGACGAAAACAACGACTTGAAAAATATATTCATGCAACTTTAAATATAATAAATAGAACATAATTCCAACAGTATATATTTATTTTAAAAATGTGAGGATTAATTCAACAGAAATAATTTTAATTAGAGACGAGAGATCTACATAGAGGATGTTGTATATTTTATTTGTTGCAAATTTTAAGATAGAAACAAGTCAATTCATCGTCCTTAATTTAAAACGTAAATAAACTTTAAGCTTTATTTACCAAATCTTCGAGAAATCATCTTGGATACATTAATGAAATAATAAGACGGATAAATAAAACAAGTTTCAGTGCAAAATAACTTTTGAGTAGCGAGAAGGGAGAATGAGAGTAATAGTGAGTGGGGCGCGCACCTGGAGCTGAGCAATATCTCGGCCTCGTCCGGCGTCATGCTGTCGGGCTGCTTGTCGTCCGCGTCGTGCGCGTCGGTCACGTCGGCGCGCGCCGCCTCGCTCGACGCGTTCTCCGCCTCCGACACGCTCCATTGGCTAGTGGTCGACTTGTCGAGCACCTCTATGGAGCCTTGGCTGGCCTCGCTCACTACCACACCGGAATCCTGCAATTTTATTTTTTATTTATTTTACTACTTAATGTCAAATGCTGTCTTCACAGAAATTGTTAATCGCAATTTTAAGAGTGCTTCACCAGTGAAGAAAAACTTAAATACTTCTAAGAAATTAATACGTGCTTAGCATTGGGGCAACGCACAGTACTCAGAACTGGAACTTATGTAAGTATGTTATATATTTAAATATCATAATTGATATTTAAATATCAAATCGGGCGTTACTTTGCGGAAATTCACTATGATAAAAATATTAATATCTACTTTGCAACAATCCCCTTAATTAAATAAAATTATGTGTCTTCTTAAACTCCGTAAAGTCAACATCACCTGAAGATGTCTCGTGAAGAGGCGAAACACGTGTCGTATTATCGTCGATGGTGTGTCTTTCCTAAAAGTGGTGTTGGGAGTAGTCGTGCTGGAATTAGTGGTGACGGGATTGGTGCACGCAATTGAGGGAGGACGGGAGGTGCTCTTCAAAGTAGGGAAGACACATCATTTTATTTAATTAAGCGGATTGTTGCAAAGTAACTATTACTATCTTTATTTAAATATCTTAAATCACTGTTCAGCCAGCTGTTGTTATGTTGTCAGTGATGACCTACGGATCTTCACATTATTCCTCAGTGCTGGTTCTATCAAAAAGCGACTCAGCAAGTAAAAGTAGTGAGTTTATTCTAAATACAACAAAAGTAAATGTCTCAGTCCAGCGCATCTGTAAAGTAGAGTAGCATCGGGACAGGCATATAGCTCAACGAACCGATATACCCGTTTAGGCTTGCATGACTTTATGTGATTTACAGGATGTAATCTACGTGGTAAGACCTGTTTAGCAGTGGGCTCATGTAATGATAATATCTAGCTAGCATATTTCAATCACAACGACATTCTCATATTATCAAAAGTTAGTTATCTTGTTTATCGTGATTCGTTTTTTGTGGTTGTAATTAGTAAGTAATTAAAGATACAGTTATTTTGTAGAAATTTCTTGTGTTATCTGTTTTATTACGGGACTGGGAAATAATGAATTTATTTAAATAATAATGTCATAATTTCCGTCATATACACTGACGCTGATGTGCTCGTTCTTACCAACCAGTACGTGATGAAAGTTCATATGCTACGTGGGTAGGGTTGGTCACAATGTTAAGAGATTTCCTATCCACGAAATCCGCCTTGTTTACCGTTGCTATACATTAACTACATTATGCAGCAGAATGATAATGTGGTTAAAATTAGTCCTGTGTCGATCGCGATTGATCGAATCTTTTTGATTCGATTGCAACCTGTACACGAATGATCGAATCATGGATCTCTAAAAGATTCGATCTTATTTGACCTGATTTCAAGATGACAAAACAAACCAAATTCTACTTTTGTTTGCATATTTTTACATACATATAATCGATCGAATCGTGTAATCAATCACACAACGACGTAATAAACAAAATGTCCTCTGTTTCCTTTGTTTACATGCAATTCAACCAATAAACAAATCGTAGTATGTATTATTACTATTATAGCACCTGTTCAGCATTCTTCATTCGGTCATACAAAGCATACAAACGAGCTGCGAACCAAATGATCGAAGCAATCGAATCTTTTTAACCCGATCACCATACGAGTGGGTCATGATCAACCCAGGTCACGAGAAATGATCGATCGACACAGGTCTAGTTACAATGTTGGTAAGAAATATTGTCGAATATGTGAGCAGAATCGTAGCGAGCGACATACCTGTTGCAGTACAGAGAGCGTATCGGGGTCGGAGCGCGCGCGTTCCGAGGGCCGCAGCGCCGCGACGTCGGGCGACGGCTCGTTGAAGCCGCCCTCGTCCGACACGCTCGACGCGCGCCGGCCACTCTCCTCCGCCTCCGACGACTTGCGACCTCCGCCCGCTGACACACGCACACATACGAAACTTTTATTGACATAATAATGACGATTTATTTAACATTTCTACATATTTCTGTTCAATAAAAATAATAAATTACAAAATTGTCGTGGTGGGTAATTTAAAAAATTATTTTATTATTTTTAGTTATTTTGAAGTTGACTTTTACTTTATTAAAAAATAATTTTTACGTATGTATTTCTGTTCAATAAAGTTTTAACTTGATATGACATACAAAACTTTAGATAGGAAAGGATAGCAAGTAGGATATCATGTTTAACTGAGTTAAAAGCATTAGAAAAGTTAACGAGTACCACAACTGTAACTTTCTATTTTAAGTAAAGCAGTTGTGGTGCTGTGGCCAGGATGAAACCCGGACTGAAAATTATGTAATATAATATTACTATTCTATACTGTTATATATTAAATAACTAGCTTGCCAGACAGACGTTGTTCTGCCCTTTTCGCAAAAAAAAAAATTGTGGGTCTTTCATGGGTAAAAAAACTATCCTATCTCTCAAGTTGGACCAAACTGCACATGATGTGCAAATTTTATTAAAATCGGTTAAGTAGTTTAGGAGTCCATCAAACAACAAAACACGTAATTTATATATATTAAGATAGTATTTTTTAAACTCAAGCTATAAATAACTGGCATATAAATCTAGCTTATTCGTAATTATCATCGTGGGGTGGTGAATGCGGAGAGTACTATAGGTGAACGAATTTATTATTGGTTTCGAAAATTCAGCTTTGGTGATCAAAACTACGAAGATAAACCATGATCTTAGCGGTACTTTTCTAAAGGGAATCTTGATTTTTAACCACAATAAATGGTCCTGAAAAAATGGCGGTGAAAGGTCCTGATAAAAACATTGACCTTACGTTTATTTCGTTCATTTCAGGCCAGTTTGGACCCAAGGTACCATAGTAAATTTGAAAATGTTAGAGTTCAAATATAAAGGAGAGGAGTCTTCTTGCTCAAATGCTTAAAGTTGGTAAGATGTAATGTCTAAAAACGAAATGTGTTCAAGTTACACCAATTTATTATTAGCTGGAATTAATTCTAACAAACCCTCTGAGCACTCCCCGTGGTACATGCGATGCGCAGAGATGCAACGTCTCTACGCAAGGCCAGTGGATCAAGCTGATCTGAAAGAACTTGGTCGTCGAAGATTGGGCCCGTCTTCGTTGAATGCGGTCAAGTGGAAGGAGCTTGTACTAGAGTGCCCCAAAACAGTTTTCCATATAATGCCAAACCTGCGCTCTATAAAGCTGCAAACGGTGGGCCGGCACACCAAGCTTTTTTAGATACCATTTAAAAATGTTCTTCTATATGACTGGGGAACTGTAAGTTTTTTAATATGTCGACGCCAAGGATTCCGATACTGGTTGAGGTAGGTAGAGGAGTGGCCTGAAATTGAGGGAATATGGCAAAGTATACTTAGACACAAAGTAAAAGTAGTAAACGGGCAAACCGGTCTCTTTTGGGGATCAAACTCGACAAGATTTAGTCAGCCCCAGTCAGAGACTTTGTTTAACAACGACAAGACTTCAGTTCTGACACACGACGACGTGTTTTTTTTTTTAAAGAATATTAACAATGCGACAAACATTACTAATATTCCCCTTAACCACTCGTGGTAAGCTTAAATTGCTTGTGTTTGCGTTGTTCGCGAAAAATATTAGCACGGCTGGTTTATAAAGTATCGCCAGTGCTGTCATTAGCATGACAATGAATGTCACTTTTACGACATATCATTGATAAGCACAAGGAACAGGGTAGGCAATAGCACACAGCCTTGTGGAACACCAGTCACAGGCTTAAGAGTCGGAGCTTGCATCATCAACCTTAATGCTAAGATCTTCAAAAACCCAATTACATAATTTCTCGGGAAGCCCATAAGAGGGAATTTTCGAAAGAAGCGCTTTGTGCCAAACCCGATCGAAGGCTTTTGCTATATCCAAACCAACGGCCAGGGGGAGGCCCTTGATTTCGACGACCTCCGCCCATCAGTGAGTCATGTGACAAGAAGATCACCAGCTGAGCAACCGCGACGGCAACCGTATTGACAGTCAGCTGATGCTCTTCAAGGTACCTCATGAGCTGGCAGTTAATAATGGTTTATATTATTTTGGAGAACAAGGAGGCGATGGCGATAGGCTTGCATTTGGACGTGTCTGAGTGGACACCTTTTTTAGGGATTGGGTGTACTATAACTGTCTTCCATGAGCTTATAATAACGCCTAAAAAGTAGGAGTATCTGAAAAGACGCGTAAGAACCGATGACAATTCCGGAGCAAACATTTTCAATTAGGGTTATTCCATATGGCCCACTTGATTTATGTTTATGGACGTCCAGGTGAGTAATGCCTTGTATCAGTATGCAAAATATAGTCGGACTTTTTATTAGACGTGTTGACTGTCTGATGTTTCATAGAGGTGAGGTTCATTCTTACCATGTTTTTGAATTCATAGGAGTTTTTATGTTTTGTAGTGGATTTGTGATGGGATATAATGATACTGTATTTTGTGCCAATAACAACAACGATGGTATAAAGTTTGTAGTACAAGAAATGTTTACTTGATCATTGTTTAAAACTTTAACTCATTTTACCTTACATTTAAATTCTTGATAAACAATATTTATACTGATCTTAGTTACAGACTACAAAGTTTCTGGTCTCTCAAGTTTCAGCCACACAAATTTTATGACAAAATAAAAATTTCTTATATTTACGCGAGCACTACACATTGATTAAAACTACTTTTACTGATTTTATAGCGTTCAGTTTATTTTATTTTCAACACCCGACGTTTCGGGTGCTTTCCAGCACCCATTGTCACGGGGGACTGAGGTGCCTGACGTCCCGATGTCAGTGTTAACCCGGAGTACCTTCAGTAGTTTTTTAATTAAATAATAATTTTTTAAAAAAAAAGTAGATTTAATCAAAATAAGAATTACTTTGTGTTTGAGTCTACTTGTACTGTAGATTGTCCTACCATCGACACAACATTGAAGCCCACCTTCGATCTTATAAGAGGGTATGTAACTACAATTTCATTAAATTAATCAAACCTTTGCTCTTGAAAATTATCTACGTTAAGTTGTTGTCTTTGAATTAAACCATGAAAATATTACTACTGGTAACCTTTTTTTTAATATTCTTAACCAGCGCTAATAATCTTAAGGTCTATATGATTTTTACATTTGTTTCATATTGAAGTGATGAACAAAATACTTTTGATGACGCCTCAAAAGCTTTGTAGTGAAACTGAAAGTAGTAACTGAAAGCGAAAATTTCTATCAATACGATGACCTCGCCATATAGTTGAATGGAACCGCGATTAAATTAGGTTAACACTATTTTTACTGCGGCTCTCAACCGCAGGTGTTTGCTGAATATTCACGTGGCTTTCATAAATAAACAAAATAGTATATTTACACGTTATAATAAATAACTGGGCGGAAATTTAAGCATACTAAGGGTTTATAGCAACGATTTTAATAGGGACCAGTCGAGACTTTGGTGACCCACTTTGATAACTAAACACCATAGAATACTTTAATACACAATAGAATGGCTGTCAAACTTATTTTGTACGAGGGTAGGCGTCGCCGGGAGCACACATACAAGCAATTACGTCGTATTATCACTACTACAAACCCGATTCGCCGTGTTGACAGACAGATTATAATACATATTTATTTGTAAATATCGTGCAGTAGGGCATTTTCTTAATAATTTGCATGCGAAATTTGGAAAAGATTGTAACGGCAAAACACATCTCGTGTGGACATTTATACGTGTGAATTGACGTGTTAGTGACATGTAAGTGGCTACACGGGCTCCGCCCACTCCCCCGTTCTATTACGTATGTAATTATAGTATTCTACGCTAAACTTGACAATATAACAGCTCTGTGCTCACTGCGCCCAACATTGAATGGGAAATTCTCCATAGAAATGGATGTCAGCTAGCGTATTCTTGAAAGTCTTTGTCAAAAAAACAGCCAGTGTTAGTCGTTTTTGACTTTATTTGATATTTTACCACGTTTTTCACAAACTCGCTTTCGTTTATCTCTGTTAATGTCTTTGAGTATACAGAAGTACATATATCTTGCTTAAGTATAATCCAAGTTTCGTGTTTAAACATTCTGTCCTTTTTATCTTTTAAATTGAAAATGCGTGGTAAGGCATTATTTTGACTGATTTTTACTGCGCACACAGTAACGTGATAAAAGCTCTCAATTTGTAACCATTGATGCTATCGCGACGCAGTAGCGGAGACAGGAGGGCACGCCATTCAATTGGTTAATTACTACATGTTCACACTGATCCCGGTTAAATTTACACAGCTTCATACAAGCCTTAAATAGCAATATAAGCAGTATTGATGCAGCCTTGACGCCATTTATTGACCATCAAACCACATATCTATCATTATAATTTGAAATATTTCGCTTAATTGTTATAATATAAAATAATATTATGATTGATTAAAACTACTTTTACGGATTTTATCGCGTTTTATTTATTTTATTTTTAATATCCGACGTTAATATTATGATTGTTAAGTATTGTAATTAAAATATCTTCATTATCTGCATAGTTAAGCAAGTGAAGTCAACACAATTTGTTTTCATTTATTTATAGGTTACCATCGCAAATTTCATTACTAATTCTATTTCACTATTGCTTCTCTTTAGTTAATAATAACTAATGTTTAATCGTCATAATATTTTCTGGACCTAACATTTTCAAGTCGACTTTCCAAATAAGGTTATAGTTACAGTCCCCACGCACTAAATTTATGGCCCAGAACGACTTGATTATAAACGTCTTAATAAGAAAATGTGGTAATTTATTTTAAAGAAATATTTTAAAAGAATACAGAAATAACGACAAACTTATTACAAATTATTTTTTAGCATGTGATGTAATGATGAAGCTTTAATATTATTGTGCCTAATAAATACTAGATTGTTTTAATTAAGGCTAATAAAATAAAATGATGTATGATTTAAGTTTTTTGCCTCAGTAAATATAATATGAATGAAAAAAGTAATGTTCTAGCGCGTAGTTACGATTAAAACATTATTTATTTCATCGCACGTGAGGTAGAAGCGTGAAGATTTAGGTGCATTATACAGTAATTAACTAACCGATGCAACAGCCGCACAGGCGCATTGTGTGCAGACGCTGGGCGGGGCGCGTCGCCGCATCACAGCCACATCTCGAGCTCGTCGAGCACACGCTCCTCGAGTTTGCCTCTTTCACACTCACGCGCACGTTTATCTCAATACGACGTATTTTGTTATCGCAATCCCAATTAAACGGGCTACTCATACAGTCCTATTTGCATTGGTAATAGAATTTGCCTTATCACATGTTCGGATGGTTATGAAAATTGAGAACCATTGTAGAGCTCTTCGAAAGTCATGCTGAACCCATGCATTTGAAATACTATTTCGCATGTTTCATAATCGGAGTTTATATGAAACTATAAGAGATTTACCATTTCTTATTGCGCAAAGAAACTACTTGCCGGCCATTTTATAATATGTGGTGGCAAAGCGTATTGTAAATAAACACTATCGCAAAAAGCGGTTTGGCAATTGGAATTTATATTATATGTTTACCATAACAGACAGTTTAGTTCTGTATGCTTCGGAAAGTAACCTATAAGTGCAAACTACTATATCTTTCGTATGAAAAAAAAAACAATAGTTCAAAGATTAGGTATATTTAGGATTATTAAAGAAGAAACGTCCAACCGAAAAACTGATATTAATTTTGACGTAATTGCTCAATTGAACCGCTACAGAAGGAACTCATTACTTTTTTAAAGTAACTTCGTATCTTAATTTACTTAAAGACAACAAATTTGTTTAAAAATCACGAGTAACTATGAAAAAAAAACACGGTTTCGCGCGTCACATTTATCAACCTCAGTCTATTTCCACTAAATCTCTCAGATGAACAAACACCGAACCCGTTACGATAATAATAATATGTGCTTCTTATGTTGAATAATATGTGCTTCTTATTGTCTTCTAAACAAAGCGCTCTACACCAAACTTTGAACAAATTCACGTACTCATATGGTTGAATAAACAAAATATCACAGATATCAAGTCCGCGGCGCGGCTAAAGTAGACAAATGCGATTATTGTTAAAGCAACGTCCTGGTTATTGACGTGGGTTGAATCGCGAGCGAAAGGGCGCGCTGGACGACGTCGCTCGGGTTACTGCGTCGCGACGGAGACGGAGGCGGCGGCGCCGGAGCATCTAAATCGGGATCAACTTGCAAGTCTCGCGGCGACTCAAATACCTTGACTTCCTCAATATTACATTGAACCCGCTCAACACGAGATCGCCAAAAGTACGTCAATCGCCGCCCACTGATATACTGCTTAGGATAACTGACGGCCCACAGTGCCAGTGTAAAAACTATGTTGACTTCCTAATCGTTTTGCATATCTGCTATGTTGCAAAATAAGAGTAGTTAATTTAATATGTGTAGGAATTTTTAACAAGATATATTTAATGATAGTTACCTAATGACAAATTATTCATAAGTGTCACATAATAATATATAGCATTGCACATCGAACTTTAATTTTTCAGGTATTAACTCGTTTATTGAAACTTTTATCTGATATTTTATATGTATATTTATTTATTATTATATTTTATACGTATACGTATACGTATTATTGTATTTTTATACGTGGTAGAGCCATACTGCAGTTATATTAATAGTATAGTTGTAGCACGAATGGGTCGGCTCGATTGGGGAAGGACCACGCTCTCACAGAATACCAGCGTGAAATAGTAGCTTAATGCTGCTGTATTTCGTATGGTGAGTGTAGAGAACTTGAAACCATTTTTACTGGAAACGAGGCATTCCATCTCAGTCCTCACGGGTGACAACGCATCTGCATTTTGATTTTTAATGGAGGATAGATGTAGATGTCTATGGGACGCAGCAAACACTTACCATCAGATGGACTGTGTGTTCGTTTGTCGCCCTATTCTATAAAAAATTTTTTAAATACTACGTACTAATTTGCTTCAAATTCTTGGCCTAAAACCATCTTATGTTGATTAAAATTGTTTATCTTGGTTTTCACGAAAATATGTACGATATAATAAAACGAAAACGTATTTTAAACAAGACTAATAATATACACGACTACGTCAACGGTAAATCTTATAGCGGCGAAAAGATAACATCTACATTCTACAACAACTGATAAGAGAGTTTGCATAAACATCTAAAAAAAACATATATGAAATTTAATTTGTACTTAAATTATAAGTGTTTACTTACAATGCGAGGGCGAAGCGAGTGCTGGAGGTGTTGACGGGATACACTGCACCGGGGACGCCGCTGGGGAAGTTAGCGGCGTTCTGGAAGCATCATCTTCTGGCAGCACACTCGTTGGAGATTCGGGTGTAGACGAACGGCGCTTAATCGATTTCGACTTTTCATCCCAATCCTCGGTATACTGTAAAACCTCGTAACTGTCATCTTCTCTGTCTATTAAATTTCGATTCTTCGAAGGCGATTTAGGCATATTATCCCAAATATCTGTACCGTGCTGTACGGAAGAGGTGAGATCAGAGTCATGATCACGCGCAGGACTGACAATTGGAGATTTAGATGGAGATCTTCTTGTACGCACAGATACAGGTTCAATTTGTAAATTTTTGGCAGAAACGTCCAAAGGTGACGCAGAAGTACTTTCTTCGCTGGCCGCTACAGAAGGAATTGTTTCATGTGGAGGTGACACTTTCTCTTGTGGTATGGGAGGTGGTGGTGATTTTGGCAATCGAATAGGCGGTGACGGTGCAGGTCTCTTAGGTAATGGTTCAGGAGTTGTGTGTATAGGAACAGTAGATGAATGCACAGGAGATATTCTTTCTAAAGGCTTTGGAGCTAACTTCTCATATTGCAAATAATTATTCAGATTATTTGCATCAGTCTGCACAGTGTCATTATCGTAATCACTACAAATAGAACTGCGATTGCCAACACAAATTCTTTCGTTAATTCCAATGCTATGGGCACTATCCTTGATTGGTGAACTGTCCACTTTCATTATAGGTGAAGTCAGAATATCGGTTCTTGCGGTGGGTGATATTAAATTACTTGACCTAGGAGAAGGTGACACTGAAGCGACTGTTTTTACAGGACTAGGGGATTTCGCAACGTGTACACCTCTAGTAACTAGTGATGATGGTAGGGTCGTGGGACGTTCTACTGGGGAATCCCCAGCACCGGGTGAAAGAGGAGGTGAATATACACGAGAAGGAACAACATGCCTTTCAGCGGCTTCAGGTGACTTTCTATCGTGATAGCCAGAAGAAAATTTTTGATCTGCCCTCTGCTCGTGTTCATATCGAGTTGGCCGCTGTTTGGTAAAATGAGCAGTCCAATTTCTTTGTTTTTCAATGAGTTCTTTGTTAAATCGTCTATCAGGTTTTTCTGGTTTAGGCAAAACACTTGGTTTTGCTGGCTTCGGAGGCGGTTGCGCGGCACCATTAGCGAGACGGCCCCCATTGAGAGATGGAGTTAATGCGGGGGGCGTAACGTTGGCTCTGGTCGGGCTTACGGAACCTGCAGAACTGGAACGCGAGCGTGCAGGTACGGCAGGGGGACCACCGCGAGTGCCCGCGAAGCTAGCTGCGGCGGAAGGCGATTTCTCAATTCGAAACCCGCGATTCTCTTCGCCTAACTTTTCAAATAGCGCTCGTGCATTATTAAATCGCGCTAAGTGGCTTTCGGTTCGTACGACCGTCACATCTGCGCCACGCATATCTTCGTCATCCCTCGACGGCATTCCTTGGAATATGTTTGCGATTTTTGAAACTTTAGTGCCTTGCATTCTTTTCTTACACTCCTCCATACTGGCCCGTCAAGGCCGCTTTAATCCGACCTGGAAAACAAAATATGTAGAATACATAAAAAAATTCAGGATATTCATAACTCGTATACACATAAAAATGGGCCGCGATTTAGATGAAAATCGTTTAATATATCAGATAAGTGCTAGAAATGCAGGCAGTACGCACTCGAAACGAGTACTACTGCGCGTTACAAGACGGCGCCCGACTGGGCTCGATAGTTCATCGTGTAATTTAACTTGAGATAGCGATAGCACTGATAACGGCTTACTCATACTCAACGCACGAACCGGTGCGACCTTTTGGTTTCCTTAGAAAATATGAAAATGAATAGGTGGAAAATAATTTTTCAAATGCTCTTTATAACTTTCGGTAAAAAGCATATTTTATACAAGGCCTATATTTTAATATAGCTTTATTTCAATTTGCCTGCTGGACACGGAAAGGTTTGCCATAATTGTCACGCTTGGCAGACTGACAATCACAACACCAGACGTCTCGCACCTTTGATGCTGCCGCCTGTTGCCAGTCTAGCATAAAAAAGTTGTTATAACGACAACTATCGTTAGCCATAAGAATTTTTTAGCATTTGTTTAAGACGCCTCTTACAACACTTTCTACGTGGTAGAGCCATGCTGCAGTTATATTAGAAGTATAGTTGTAGCACGAATGGGTCGGCTCGACCAGGGAGGGACCATGCTCTCACAGAATACCAGCGTGAAATAGTAGCTTAATGCTGCTGTATTTCGTATGGTGAGTGTAGAGAACCGGAGACCTTTTTACTGGAAACGAGGCATTACATCTTCGTCGTCACGGGTGACAACGCATCTGAATTTTGATTTGTAATCGAGGATAGATGTAGATGTCTATGGGCCACAGCAACCACTTACCGTCAGGTGGACTGTGTGCTCGTTTGTCACCATATTTTATAAAAAAAAAACACCCACATGTGGGGTGACGAAGTCTCTTACGCTGCCATCACACGGCAACTATAAATATTCACATATACTAACATCTCCCTACCCTCTATACCATACAACTCGTTGGTGTAGTGGTTGTAAGATAATGAGCATTCAAATGCCGGCTCGGGCCAAAATCTTAAGGACTATAATAGACAGTGCACCTATGCATACACTTGGGAACTATAATCCTGACTTGTTCAGATGGCTAGACTTCATTGATACTAGCCGCCGTGACCGAAATTCGGTCTGGCGGGGAGTATAAGAACATTATTATTATTTCTGAAAAAAAAAATCTTTATTAAACCATCTATTTACATAAAACAAATAATATTTTATATATATTTAAAGCGAAATAGTAGATAAGATTATCATGGACAAAGTGAAAGATAATATTCAATCAGCAAAAATAATTGTTTCAGTTATCGTTTGGTTCGGTTATCGTCCGCAATTACTTTGTTTTATTATGGTTGGCTTAGTGTATTGGTTTGCAGTGGTTTTAAGTTACTGTGTGAAGGAGACACATGGGCAACAATGTGAAATAGCGCAAGTTTGTGTGACAGACATGACTGATGAAGAATGCTTCGGCGACCAAGTTTTAATGCCCAATTCTCATATATTCGGCTGCTGTCCCAGTTGCCAAGCGCCTGGAGTGCCCGGTACGAACTAAATTGGGAAACACGACAATAGTAGGTCTCTTCTCTACGGGGTCGACACTTCGTCTATAAATAAATAGACTTATTTAAACTAATAACATCCGACAATAAACATCGAATACATAAAGTATATCTACACTCTCCTATAAAAACGTTATGTAAATTTAAACTGAGTTTATTTTAATACTAGAACATTTATTGTAGCCATTGTGAATGGCTACAATAAATGTTCACCTGATAATAGTATAATGCAGGTATTAAACTCATTTAGATTACCTACTTGATAAGTACATGACTTCTAGAATATATTGGTAGGTACTTAACAATTAATGTTTTATTTTTTAATTAAATTTGCGAAATTATAGATTTGTGAAGTTATTGTTTAAAAAATTATATTTTTATTACGTACAACGGTTAAGTTAGATTATAGGTTGTGCCTATACTTAAGTACTTTTTGATGAGATAATTTTGTATAATAAAACAAGTAAGAAAATTTGGAATCGCCTGTATGTTTCGAAAAGTTTTTTCATGGCATAAAAAGAGAAGGAGGAAAATAATATACGAAGTTTTTTAGCCGACTAAAAAAAGCAGGAGGTTTTCAATTTGGTACGTGTATGTTGCGCAATATCATCGCATCGCCGATTGATGAACCGATTTTAATTAATTCCTTTTTAATTCAAAAGATGAAACTTCAGGGTTGATTCCATATTAATTTAAAAAAAGACATCCCTAATCTACTTACTTATTGTGGTTTATTGTGATACTCCTTGGTATACTCGAGAGGGTCAAAAATTAAACTTTAAATAATAAGTAAAATACGAATTCAAAGAAATAAACAATTACCACGTAATAGCTTCTGAAGTCAGACCTCTAATTCTTCTATAGACCTATACACGATTCAAAAAGTAGACCGTATACGCAGTAATATAAATCAATAGCTATACACATTGCCTTAGAATCGACTTCAGAAGCAGTAAGAAATTATGGGTATGTTCCGAAATACAACGCAGTGTACTGTCCAATGCAAATGACGTCATGAATCGACGCTATACTAGTGGTTCGTTCCAAAACATTGGACAGTATATGACGTCATACTTTTGCGCCATTTGGAAAAGTGTTGGAGATTATTTTGTCATTTTGTGCTCCAAAAATCATTATATCCTCCTAATGGATATACCATCAATTATTCTATAATTTTTTGTATTTGAATAAATAGAAACAAATTCTGGCATGCTTCACTCGGCAAACACACAATTAAAAATTGTTTTATTATGGCCGGATATCGACACAATATGGCGGCGGCACGCTAGTACAATAAAGTGTCAAATGATGACGTCATTTGCATTGGACAGTACACTGCGTTGTATTTCGGAACATACCCTATATAATTCTTCTTGTTCCTTTGAAGTCGGCTTCTACTTGTTATAAAAAGTTAAATTTTTTAAAAGATAATTAATAGAATCAAACGTTACTTTGCGGAAATACATTATAATAAAGATATTGTTGTCGTGATCGGCGCTTTCGCAATTGAGGGAGGGCGGGAGGTGCTCTTCAATCCAGGTGAGACACATCATTGTATTTAGTTAGCGGAAGGTTGCAAATTAATCAATATCTTTATAAATTTTTTTATAATAGTGAATGTTACCTGGCATTACGTCAAAACCAAATTCTGTAGACTTGTGATGGAAAAAAGTATTGCAAGTAGGAGTTTTAGTTTTTCGCTCGTTAAATTGCCTGTCTTGCGTGGTAAATATGTGCAAATCTTTAGTAAATATATTATGTCGATTGGCACAATCTTGAAAAGGCCTATGCCTAACAGCGGACTTAAAAAAAGGCTGATAACGATGATGAATACTGATTATTACAACATACACGTGAATAATGATCATTGCACGAGCAATCGCGATTGTAATATTAATATTTATTGTTATCATAACCAATATTGCATACGTCAACAGCATGCTCAAAATAGCCCAGATGTGTTCTAGAATTTAAATTAATTTTACGAACATTTTAGTCAATATTACATATGAAAATATTTCCATATAAATTAACAGGCCCAGAAGAGGAGCAATTGTGCAAGCCGCCAGCGAATTGTTCACCGGACGGACTGTATGCGCCTGTGCAATGCAAAGGCGATTTATTCACCGGAAGGTGAGTGCTGACTAGGTTTATAAAACTATATAACGCTGATAAAGACTTACGTAGGTACAGTTGCTTTTGTAACTGGTTCCTACGCGATAACAATTTTTATTTTCTAAAGGCAACATTAACAAAGAATTACTTATAATAATTATTGTAGGTACTAAGTAAAAACTATAGTAGATTTGAGTATTTTTTTAATAAAGCAATTATTTTCGTAGAGCACTTTATGCGGTTTGTTTGATTTAACCATACCAGAAAGATAGACCAAATTAAAAAAAGATCGTAAATATTGCCGTGAGAATATTCAGATAAAAAAGATTTCACTCAGAACCATTAATATGCAATGTGCCGATATTTTTTTATAAAAATCGAAAAAAAAAATTGCCGTGAAAATATTCAGATGTAAAAGATTTCACTCAGAACCATTAATATGCACACTGTGCCGCTTCAAAACACACTGCATCACGATATCTTGTTTATATTTCGTATTTGCTCTGTATACAGATGTTTCTGCTCGGACAAATACGGGAACAGAATATTTGGACAAATGTGGAGAAGCGAGGCGAGTGAAATGACTTGCGGTATGTTGTTATAAGCCTACAAGAAAAGTTATCGTGAAAAGATATCATGATATGTCGTATCATGTCTACGGATTTTGTGATGTAGCGAGTATGAGACACAAAGTATAATTTCTCTTTCATTTACAACTCCTTCAATGTCTAAATTTGTCGACCACGAGCACTTCACAAAAACCGAATAACTGTGAACGGATATTACACATACAGGAAAATCTAATTTCAGCGTGCAGTCGCCGGAGGAACGAAATAGAAGCGTCGGGAAGGAGTGCAGTTACCCTACATTGTACTCCCTCCGGTGATTACGAGACGCTACAGTGCGATGAGGGGATGTGTTGGTGCGTGCAGCCGAAAACCGGCCAGCCAACCGTACAGCCAGTGCTGCAGGAGGATATGAAGCACTTGCCTTGCTGTGTGTATTTGTAACTCATTAATCACTTATTATCTTAATTATGAGCTGAATCTACATAAAAATATCAATGTATTTGGCAAAACAATAATTATCCGAAACCCAAAATGCATGGCTCTGACACAATGCAATATTGTAACAGTGTAATGCAACAATAAACGAACATACGTATTTTGTTAGCCACACAGCTGTGTAGAAGCCTCAATTCATTTTATTGTTAGGTTAGTAATAAATAATTGAGTATTAATTAATTAATTCTTCACAAGTGGGTATACTAAACATACTTTTATAAGTAGGTACTTAAGCAAGTTTAATATAATTCTCATTTACTGAATTATAGTAAGCGTTATAAAATTATTTATATTATATACAATTCATCTAATGAAAACTTACTAAAACTTCTTTCTAATGCTGGTAGTCCGAACGGACACGTTGAGATACAATTAATAAGAAACTAGTTACTAACCAACGACATGTAAGAAAGGATGTATATTGTACACAATACTATAAAAATGATTCATAGGCAAATGTTTAAAAAAGATCTTCAAAACACTTGCCAAATGTTCAGGACCATTCAGAGCATTCACTACATTTAAAATTACATGTCCTATACATAAATTATAAGAACAACTACTACCGACGAGCATGTATGCGTCGCTATATATAAGAATATGAAAGAAGCGAGAGTGGTGTGTCAGGATCGTGCCAAATGGATTCCGTAGTATCTGCCTACTCTCCTGGGTGACGGGAGTGAGATTTTATGATTATGGCATAAATTAGTATGACATGTGACACAAACCTGTGCGCTTTACCATCTTCCGCTGCATCACCTCTTACCATCAAGTGGGATAGAAATCAAGCACTAACTTTTTAAAAAATAGCGATTTTAGATTTATTGTAATGTTCATTTCGTACACTTTACACAACAAAAACTTGATAAAAACTAATTTGTCTTCCCTCTTCTACACTGTTTCGCTAAGCGTTTAAGCGTAAGCCCCCAATCGATATAAGCAAAACATTAGTTATCAAATCAAATGCCAATTGAATTTAAAAATTAATAATACAATGTTTGTTATGATATATCCAAATAAAATATGTCAGTGATTTATATTATACCTAATTATCTTTGTAAATTATAGACAGCTCAGCAGTTATTGGGGAACAATACTTAAGAAAATGCGAGAGTGTCGTCCAAGCATTCAATATTATTTACCAGGAGCAATCAGAGCACGGTACAAATTTTTTGGGAAATCCAATAACCTTTTGCGATTATGACGGCAGCTATGGCCCATACCAAATTAAAAACGGCATGTAAGTTCCATCATATTATATTGATATAAATAGATATTAGGATTATTAATGACATAATATAAAAAAAAATGTTTAATCAATGTTTGGCTAAGACATGGGCTGTTTAAGTGGATATTCGGAAGACGGTGTATACGTGTAAACAAAGGAATATACGTTTGTATGGATTATCCATACAAACGTATATTCCTCTGTTTTTTTTTCTTGGATAACGACACTAGAGTAATTTTGTTTTCGTTACAATCCTTACCTCTCCTTCATGTTTGTTTTTTCATACTTCATATTTTAAAAACTAGAAACCTATTAGATTTATTTCATTAGGCATTTTTACCAATGAAATTGTTTTTTTTTTTTTTCAATATTGACGTTAATTAAAATTGGAACTCCAAACTGAATGACATTCACATTATCGACATTCATTTTAGAATTCCGAGTAATACATTTTGATCATGTTGTGCAGAAATGGTCAATCCACAAAAACATTAAGTTACTCAGATTTAAAAAAGAGCCTCTCAGTTTGTGGGTTGGATCTTTTCTGCACAACATGGTCCATTTACATTTTTGGGATAGAACTCAGGGGATCTGGAATAGTCTATGATGGCCTTTAAACCACTTCCTGAGAGAAAAAATCTTCCAAGAAATTGTCCAAATTTCGGAGAAAATGGTAATCTGTTGGGGCTGTCTGAGAGTACAGAGGATAGCGTATGATTTTTAACTGCAGGTTTTGTAATTCGGGTGGGAGTTTTTTCTGTGAGAGTTTCGTCATCATTTTTCGAAGTTCTTTACAAAATACATGTATTGTTATTGATACAACGGATGTCAAAAACTAACATGAAGTGACCATTACTTTATATGCGTGCGCTTCAGTATAGGGCATTGTTCCGGTATTTTAACTTGGTCCAGCTATTCCGTTTTTCGCTTGCGATTATCGAGATAATTTACTTTTCATAAGACGTCACGTCCTTTATTTGTGTACTTATATTATCAAAGCAAGGTCATTTGTCAAGTTTTTTTTTAATAATAATTAATTTGGTGCAAATGATTCCATATTATTATCGGTAAAGTAACGTCAAACCATTACACTAATTCCTTCGTTAAAGTTTTGCGTGCGCTATCCCCGTCACCACTACTCCCAACACCACTACACTAGGAAAGACACACTACTGACGATAATACGACACGTGTTTCACATCTACACGAGGCATCCTCATTCCTCAGCTTGTACAGCACATAGCAGCCACCTGCATCCATCGACTTCCTGCATGTCTTACCAGGTCGTCACTCCATCTAGTGGGGGGTCGCTCTTCACCTCGCCTACCGGTACGAGGCTGCCACTCGAGAACCTTTTTTCCCCAATGGTTGTCGGTTCTTCGAGCTATATGGCCGGCCCATTGCCACTTCAGCTTACTAATCAGTTGGGCTATGTCGGTCACTCTGGTTCTACTGCGGATATCCTCATTTCTAAGTTTATCACGCAGAGAAACTCCGAGCATAGCCCTCTCCATAGCTCGCTGAGCGACTTTGAGCGTCCTCATACGGCCAGCAGTGAAGGACCACGTCTCGGTTCCGTAGGTCATCACTGGCAACACGCACTGGTTGTACAACTTAGTTTTCAGGTTTTGTATACCTGACGAGAAGATGTGTCGTAATTTCCCAAATTATTATATTAATTGAGCGGATATGGCCGAAGTAATTTTTACCAACGTTAATATAATGGATTTCCGCAAAGTAATGCCTGTATCTACCAATTAATTCCTTGTCGGCTTCGTTCGGATCGGAGGATCGGTTGGTAAAAAGTGAGCTATCTATGGGCGGCTTAGGAACTGCATCGGTACACTTATTCGAAAATTACTGAAACTTTTTAGTTCTTGATGTTTAACTCCAGTAGAATGTAATAATATGTTTTTTTTTAATTTTGAAATATTATAATTAAAAAAAAGTTTTAATCACAAATCTTGAACAAACTTAGGTTTAAATTTAATTAAAATGATCAGTCCATGAAAATAGCAATTTCATACTATAATACTATTATTTACCAAATCGTATTGTTAACCAAATTATGAGGAAGTACAATCACAAGTAACATATTCATTTCATGATAAACACAAAACCTACGTTTATATTTTTTCAGTGCTTACTGTACTGATCGCCAAGGAGAAATACTGGGCTCGTGGCAGACAACTTCCAGTGAAATGGCTGGCATGAATTGTAGTAAGTTATTTTACTTTTCATTAGACCGAAATAACTTTCCAAATAAAGTGGTGAAAATATATTTATAAATATAAAGGTATTTTTAAATGAGAAGTATTTAAGATAATGATTAGGTATATATACACTGTCACCAGTCAATTAATATATAATTTTTAATCAATTGTAATAAATACAGTTGATCTTATAACACAAAGAAGTTTTTAATAAATCTCAGGCTTAAGCTAGACTCTGTTTGAATGAAGAAGTCATGTGGATAATATGCGAACTGAATTTTAAGTATGAACCCTGACAGCAAATGTCGAGTTTTGCGAAAACTATGGCGCCGATGATGAAGGACTTTTCGTTAAGAAAGACTTCTTAAGCCTTAGTTTGAGCCCGAGAATATCAATAAACCACGTTTTGTAATAAAGCCGACTAAGAGTAGTTTTTTTGGTTCAAATGTTATGAATCTTATGCACCATTGTTTCTAAACAAAACTAAATTTTAATACCGCATAAAAATCTCGATATCCCGAGAATAGATGTAGATGTCATTTGCACAGAATCGACTTACCGTCAGGGAGACTGTGTGCTCGTTTGTCACCCGTATTTTATATAAAAAAAAGTTTAACATTTGATACGTGGCATTAACACTGAATTCAGGAAGTAATATAAAATTTGTATTACCAAATTCAAAAACGGTAAAAGAAAATAAGTTCGATACTCATTTCTTCCATTGACCTTGTGGTACCATAAAACAAGCACTCTTTTATGCTCGTTTGCCCCCTCTTCTATAATTTTTTTGCACCATATGTATAGACTTACACAAGCTTTAGCACAATACACACCTCCGTAACAGAGAGGGCAAGGACATTGTAACAGAAAATTAGATTTAAATGAATGCAACAATTAAAAATAATCACAAAAACTATATATATAATTATGTCCAGTAAACGAAAGTAAGAAAAAATATTTTTGTAATATTCTATAGTCCTATACATCACTACTCCACTACCCCGTCTTGTTCCGTGTGTGTCGTAAGAAGCCACAGAGGGTAATTGCATCCTACATAAACGGGAAATGGGCAGCAACATCTTCTTGATAGCAAATCAAAATAATAAAAAAGTGCGGTTGCCAACTGTGGTACTACAGTCCTCTGACAACCTATGGGGGTAGGCCTATGTTCACTAGCCTAACTAGACTTACTTTGTACAGGCTGTAATAAAATAATGAATGAATTAGGTCAAAATCTTACACTCAGTCCCTTTATTACAAATATCGCTTAGCGTGCTGTTACCACCAACACGACACTCGATTGGCTTAAGCTTATTTGGATTTACGCGGGCTAATCCTATAATGAAAACCTGTAAAGCTATTATCCATCACTACCGAACCTTTAAAGGTTTATGACGGCTGAAATGGCTATCTGAATAGGTGGCATAAAGTACAGTAGAATCCGTTTATTATGACTCCGCCTATATTGACCAGCCGGTTATTATGACGTATTTGCACTACGAAGTTTGGTTTTCACATAAAATTCTTTATAACAAAGTCGGATATAATGACTTCCCTTACAGTGACATGTCGCTTATTATGACCCATTTTTAATAAATTATGTCCGGTTATAATGACCGACACGATTCTTTACACCTTCGGTATTGCTCGTTGATTCCCGACGACGTTCGGCACGTGGCTTTTTTTGTTTTGATTCTCAGGGAGTAATTGACGGTTGAAGGTCACGCATTGTTTTTCGTTTGCTACTGTGAAAAAAATGTCATCTCAACGACGTAAAGCATTTACAATTGAGGAGAAAGGTGCAATAATATGCAGATTAGAAAATGGAGAATCTAACTCATGTCTCGCAAAGGAATTTGGCGTGGGTCATTCGACAATCTCAATGATTTTTAAAAACAAGAACCGCATTAAGGAATCGTTCAATTCAAATGTTTTGAAACCGAAGAGGCTTCGAAAATCACGACAAGAAAATGTTGATCAAGCATTAATTCAGTGGTTTAAAAACATGAGAAACAAAGGAATACCTATCAGCGGTCCTATGCTACAGGAAAAGGCAAATGGTTTTGCCGCGCGTTTTGGTATTCTCGACTTCAATTGTTCTGCAAGCTGGATCAGTCGTTTTAAAGTTCGACATAACATTGTGGCTGGAAAAATTGTCGGTGAATCTTCGTCTGTAGATCAAAATTCAACAACAAACTGGTTGATATCTGTGTGGCCGAATTTACGAAGACAATTTTCTGATGATGAGATATTCAATGCTGATGAGACTGGACTTATTTACAAATTAATGCCGTATAAAACTTTAAAATTTAAAGGTGAAAATTGTAGTGGAGGTAAGTTATCGAAAGATAGAATAACTGTCATGGTAACAGCGAATATGAGTGGCACAGAGAAGAAGAAATTGCTCATTATTGGAAAGTCACAAAAACCAAGATGTTTTAAAGGTGTCAAATCATTACCTGTCGATTATGCTATTAAGCTTGGATGACGTCAGAACTTTTTGAAAAATGACTTCGTGATTGGGATCGTGATTTGGTGAAGAAAAAGAAAAAGATTCTATTGCTGGTTGATAATTGCCCGGCGCATCCAAATGTTACTGATTTAAAGTCTATAACACTTGCTTTCCTTCCGCCGAATACAACATCAGTACTACAGCCAATGGATCAGGGAATAATACGATCACTCAAAATGAATTTTAGGAAGAACCTTGTGCTCAAAATGATTAATTGTCTTGATGCTAATGAAAACCACTCTTCTACAAAAGTAACGGCGCTAGATGCAATTCTGATGGTTAATGATGCCTGGAATAAAATGTCTCAAAGTACCATTCATAACTGTTTCAAACACGCAGGATTCATTGAAAGCAACAACGGTTTACCTATTCAAATATCAGAACATGAATTCGATGAAGAAGATGACATTCCTTTATCTTTGTGGTCACGAAACCTAAACTCAGATTCTTTAGCAGCACCGGAAATGTGGGAAGGTTATGTTGACATCGATAGCGGTCTCCTCACATCCGAAGAACCCACCGATGAAAATATCGTACAGAACATTAGTGCTAAGGAACAACTCGAAAGTGATGGGGAAGAGGAAGTCGAGGAAGCACCATTACCTACCGCAGAAGAGGCATTAAAAGCTGCAGAATTATTATCACGATTTGTTCACAGCAATATTGAAAATGATAATTTGACCATAGCTATGTCTTCTATACACAATAGTATTAGAGACTGTTTTTACAATAAAATGAAAAAACAAAAGCAGACAAAAATTACAGATTACTTACAGTAAAAAATACACTTGTACATACAATGTGTTATTATAATAATGTGCTGATTACGTGCAATTTTGATTTTGGTTTAATATGTATATATACATACATATGTAATTACATATGTACTATGTATGTTTCTGTATTAAAATACTTAAATACATACATATTTACATAAAAAAAAGTTTTTCATTTCACATAACGCTTTATATGACGTCCGCTTATTATGACGTGTTTGTCAATTCCTTTCGAAGTCATTATAAACGGACTCTACTGTATTTGAAAAAAAAAGTGGAACAACTTTACGATAAGAGTTACTCAACAACCATGAATGTGTTCAACAGTTTTTGAAGCGAAAACTCGCCCTGAATAGTGAAATATATTGAAATTTCTAAAACGAAAGTTTATCACCCGAAAGCCTCCATTTAACATGATCCTGACACCATTCTCGCTTCGTTAACGTCCAAGATATTTACACGTACATGTTCGTCGGTTAAGGGAGTACCCTAAATTTACTTACCCCTAAATTACTTAATGTACAAAGTACCATTAATTTGGCCAATCTTTGTTTTTTGCAAATTGCATCTGAAACGCCCCTCGCAAACTCTGTCACTTATACATTCTTACGCAACAAAAATTAGTTTTGTCACTCTTTCCTCATTCATTATGACGTAGTAAGAAAATCAACATGTAATGTAATTATTTTAAGTACGTTTAAAGTCTTGTAAGATTCGCAACAACCAGCAGATAAGCGGAAGAATAGTGGTACCGTTAGCGCATACGCAGCGCGAAGCGGACCCGCGACCGGTTGGCGGCCGTGACCCTATTACCGACATAATATACCTGATTCCATACGTTCCATTGCATCGTGCTGATGGAATGTCAAGAGAATGTAGCGAACTGAAACTCTTACCGAATGTAAAAGAGCGCGTTAGTACCGATCGCGGTTACTTTGTTAAGAAAAAACTTTTATAATGATATTATACTAAATTTAAGGTTAAAAAAGAAATTTATGTAATGTAAATAAAACTAACCACTACGATATTATGATAAACTACACGATACATTTGCCTATTATTATTAGGCTGCATAGCTCAGATGGTTAACGCTCGCTATAAATATAACAGAACGCGAGTAACCCGGGTTCGATCCCCGCCGGCACCAATAAAATTGTTAATTGCAATTTTAAGTGCTAATTTACCACGTGCTCGGCGGTGAAGGTTTTCACTTTCTTTCCCTAAACCCTCTCAGAAATGAGGGGAGGCCTGTGGCCCAGGAGTGGGACGTATATAGGCTGTAACTTTACTTTACTATTAGGCATGCATGTTTTGCCAATTCAAGTTCGCTATGTTAATGATGACGTTATACTATATCCTGTAATAAATATGAGCAATAATATAATATTATGTAATATTTGATTGTAAAAGCGTTCTCGTAAACGCTCTAAGTATTTCAATGAAGTTTACAACATGTTGGTTTGCGGGCATCTGCGAAAATTTGTTTTCTTCGTGTTTACATACACAAAGCAACAAGCTAGATTTGCCCGTGCAATATAATTAGTAATTATAAAAGTATCTTCCCGCCCTAACGGCAATGGTAGCCCATCGCCTGAGTGCGCGAGTTCGACTCAAGCAATATGGTCAGGATTTTTATTTTATTTTTATCTTTTGCTTTTGGCATTTTAGCCCAACAGATTGGTAAAAATAAAATGATCATAGAGTAATAAAATGTTTTGTTCGTGGGATACATTTCTATGGTGTTATGCATAGGTACTTTGTTCGAAAAATGTTTAATTAATCATTGTTTTATCGATATACAATCAAGTCTATTTCATACTTTTTTAATTAAAATAAAATAGAAATAAATAAATAAATATCTATAATATTTATACGTATTATATAAATATTATAAATATTTATTCTCGCAGACAACTCTTACGAAAATTTTGTACTTTATATCCCAGAGGAAATTATGTTTTTTTTCTAACGCTGAACAAAGCTCGGTCGCCCAGGCCCAACAAAAAAAAACATAGGTTGGTTATTAGTAGTGATTACAATCCGGATTCTTCGAAATACGAAAATAACTGAAAAATCCGGATTTTCCAGAGTTTTATAAATCCGGTTTTTTTTCGGATTTTAGTGAAAATTGAGTTTAATGGATAATGTTTTACATTTAATCCACAATTTTTCATACTAACTGATGAATATGTAGGTGTTACCTACTCTAATACGCTAATACGTTCAGTTTAGGAATGTGTTTTGTTGTTTATTTTCATCATCACCACCATCATTACAGTCCTTCACAAGTCCACTGCTGAACGCCCCCCCCAAGGAATGCCACAAAGCACGGTCCTGAGCCACCCTGCATCCATCGACTTCCTCATGTCTTACCAGGTCGTCACTCCATCTAGTGTGGGGTCGCCCTACACTACGCCTACCGGTACGAAGCTGCCATTTGGTTGTTCGCTGGTCCATTGCCACTTCAACTTACTAAACCGTTGGGCTATGTCGGTCACTGTAGTTTTACTGCGGATATCCTCATTTCTAAGTTTATCACGCAGAGAAACCCCGAGCATAGCCCTTTCCATAGCTCGCTGAGCGACCTTGAGTGTCCTTATACGGCCAGCAGTAAAGGACCACGTTTCAGATCCATAAGTAACCACTGGCAACACGCACTGGTTGTACAGTCTCGTTTTTAAGTTTTGAGGTATACCTGACGAGAAGATGTGTTTTAATTTCCCGAACGCTGCCTAGCAGAGTTGAATCCGTCGATTAACCTCTCTGTCAAAGTTGGACTTACCTAGTCGGACTATTGTCCCAGGTAGACTCACTCGTCAACAGCTTAGTAGTCCCAACAACTACCGGCATAGGTGTAACATGGACATTAAACAGGATATTTGTTTTGTCCCTGTTCATCATAAGACCTATTTGTTGGGAGACACTATTGAGTTCATTGAGCATAATGCTTAGGTCCTCCAGCGATTCTGCCATAAGGACTATATCGTCGGCAAATCGAAGGTGAATGATGTACTTGCCATTGATGTCAATACCGTATCCTATACAGTCCAGTAGCTTGAAAACGTCTTCCAATATAGCGGTGAAGAGTTTCGCGGGATATAACGTCACCCTGTCTTAAACCTCTCTGCAGTTAGATAGGTTTCGAACTCTGGTTCTGTACTCGGATAGCCATCGTAGCCCTACTGTACAAGCACTTCAGCACTTCGATATACCGATAGTCAACTTGGCACTGCTGAAGGGACTGTAGCACCACCCAAATTTCGACGGAATCAAAGGCTTTCTCATAGTTCACATACGCCAGACAAAGTGGCAGATTGTACTCTTCTGTCTTCTATACAATCTGCTGTAGGATATGTATGTGGTCTATGGTACTGAAACCTTTTCGGAAACCGGGAGGCTGGAAGTCGTCGAGTCTGTGTGCGAAAGAATCCCTTTTTCTAAATGAAGTCGGCTGCTGGCCCCTCCGTTGCCTTATCCCGAATTTCCCTACCTTCAGCTCACCGATTTTTCTTGTGCCTAGCTTTGCGTTGAAGTCTCCCATTAACACCGTATAGTGGGTTTTGAAGGAATGCATTGTTTTAGAAATATCCTCATACATTTCCTCCACTTCCTCATCGGGATGTGCCGACGTTGGTGCGTAAACCTGTATGACCTTCAGCGAATACCGTTTGGTGATTCTGAATATAAGGTACGCAACCCTCGTCGACACACTCCCAATCTTTATAAAGTTGTTAACTAGAGACTTGTGGACGATAAATCCAATACCTCCTTGGGACAGATGGTCATCCTTTCGGTAATAGAACGAGTTGCTGGATTAGAGAATCACCGTGTCCTCCCCCTCTCTTCGGACCTCGGATAATCCTATAATATTCCAACACAACTTGTCTATCTCTTCTTCAGGATCTTCTCGACAGTCCTCAGGGTGCGTGCGTTGTAATTTGTCAGGTCGAGTCGTTTTAGGTGGCAACTGAACCTCCACTGGAGATTCTTAGTAGCCCTTGCCCTGCCGTTACCACGGTCTGGGGGCCGTCTATTTGCGTCGTTGCTCATGGGGGGTATATTGCCATAGATGCCACGTTTGGCGAGCGGGTGGGTAACTGCAGTTTTTTGTTACTTTTATCAGGAAGATGCTGCTGCCCATCTTCCGCCTGCTTCCCTCTGTGGCCTTTTACGACACCCACGGGAAGTAGGTTTTTGTTTCGTTCTTTATTTTTGATTTATGCTGTTTTATTTCAGTTTTATCAAATCACCCTAAAACTTCGAAAAATCCGGATTATCCAAATTTTAATCATAGGAAAATTCAAAAATTCAAAAATCCGGATTTTGCAATCTCTAGTTATTAGTATAGGTTACCCAAGAAATAATAGAAATCGATACAAATATAATTTGTAAGAATTCGACGACTTGATTAGGAATTTACTAATCAAAAACATCATCCTACTTTTGGACTCCGCCGTAATCCAGTGAAATTATTAAAATATTTATCCTACTTAGGTAGGTTAAGGTACTAAATAGTAAGTTTTTTTCAGATTGTGCCAGGGACTCTATGATGTATTTCCCGGAACGAGGAATGACTGTAACCGAAGTCTGCCTGGCGAACGGCAACTACCAGCCAAACCAAAACGTGGGGGACGTGTATTACTGTGTCGACACCGACGGATACCCCATAGAGCTGCTGACTGAATGGCCAGCCGATATGTGCGCCAGCCATGCTTAACTGTACCTTCACTTTTGTGTTGTTGGTTATATCCTGTCATATCTACCTGTCATCACATCACATGTATCACAATTAACAATAACTTTGGAATTGGAATAAATGTAACAAGCATTTGTCTCATTTAACTTTATTCAAGGTCACAATTACAGTAAATTTATTTTAATCCAGCCGACGGATTCAACTCGGCTGGGCAGCGTTCGGGAGATTACGACACATCTTCTCGTCAGACATACCACAAAACCTCAAAACTTGATTGAACAACCAGTGCGTGTTGCCAGTGATGATCTACGGATCTGACATGTGGGCCTTCACTGCTGACCGTATGAGGAAGCTTAAAGTCGCTCAGCGAGCTATGGAGAGAGCTATGCTTGGAGTTTCTCTGCGTAATAAACTTAGAAATAAGGATATCCGCAGTGGAGCCAGATTGACAGACATAGCCCAACGGATTAGTAAGCTAAGTGGCAATGGGCCGGCCATATAGCTAGAAAAACCGATAACCGATGGGGAAAAAGGTTCCCGAGTGGCAGTCTTGTACCGTCAGGTGAAGTAAAGGGCGTCCCCCCACTATATGGAGTGACGACCTGGTCATACTAGCAGGAAGTCGATGGATGCAGGTGGCTCAGGACCGTGCTTTGTGGCGTTCCTTGGAAGAGGCCTATGATCAGCAGTGGACTTGTGAAGGGCTGTAATGATGATGATGATAAATGATGAGCCACCCGCCCCCGCTTGGCCTTGATAGGATCTATTGTAGCATTATATAGATTTAAGATAATCAGAAACCATTGATTTTATTAATTTTTTAAATCTCCAAGTTACAAGGATATCCGAAATTCCTCCAGGCATTGCTTTCTATTCTGTTTGTAAAGTTTTAAAACCATTGGTTCAGTCATTCCGAATATTTGCTCGACAGACACATTCGAATTTAAAATTTGCACATACACAAAGTATTTATTCAGGAAAAAAACATATAGTGACAAACATATACATACATACATAATATACATATATTATACATATACATAAAACCACAATAAAAAGTCTATACATACTGTACAACCGGCAGGCCGCAGGACGCCGCGCGCCCGCCCGCTCGCCGCGCGCGTTCACCCATCTGAAACATGTCTTAAATTACTACCACAGATTATAATCTGTGTTTACTACTATGCCTACCTAAACATGCAGCAGATATAATATGGCTGCAGCACGAATGGGTCGAGGAAGGACCACGCTCTCACAGAATACCAGTGTAAAAGCAGCTTAATGCTGTGTTTCAAATGGTGAGAGTAGTAGAGAACCTAGAGAGAGTAGAGTCCTCAGGAGTGACAACGCATCCGCATTTTGATTCTTAATCAACAGTAGATGTAGATGTCTAAGGGCCACAACACTCACCATCTATTGGACTAAGTGCACGTTTGTCACATTCATAAGTATTAGGTATGTTTTTATAGAATGAGGGTGGGTATCTATTTAAGTACGTCTTGAAAGTTCAAGACGTATTGAGATAGACAAATAAACATTAAATAAATTTATATTTCGAATAATAATGTTTTGATGAAATATCAAAAGAAAATCATTTATTCATTAATAAATTTTTTTTTTACTTCGAGCAATTCTTGTATACCTATATATATATATATAATCGGAATCTCGGCAACGGCTCCAACGATTTTCATAAAATTTAGTGTCCAGGGAGTTTCGGGGGCAATAAATCGATCTAGCTAGGATTTATTTTTAGAAAATGTCCTTTTGTCCGTGTTTTCAGGCAATAAAAAAAACTGCTACAATATAAGAAGGTAAATTTTGACATTTCACTAACGATCGTAATAGCTCAGTTGGGATGTTGGTCGGGCGGTGATATCGGAGTTCTATGGTTCGCGTCCTGTCTCTGGTCCAGTTTTTTTTCAAGTTCCCTTCTTTTGTGAGAAAATCTATTATTTCAAGCCTTTTTTAGTATTTTTTAAAAATACGAAAATTTTAATAAAACTTATTGCACTCATGATTTTTTATTCAAATAACCAGTTCAGTTTTTTTTTATTCTGTCAATAAGATCAAAAATATTATTTAAGTTTCATCAGTATGTAATTTATAAATGTAATTTCAAAAAAAAACCGAGCAAAGCTCGGTCATCCGGGTACTTTTCTCTTAATATTATCTATATATACTATCCGTTTTATAATCTTAAACCAAGTATTCGCAATAGTATTCGCAAGGATTGATTACAGGATTTTAAACAAAAATGTTTTTGTAAAGTAGGCAAGGTGGCGGGGATGAATTTGCATCGCCTGCAAACTGCAGGCACGAAATTTGATACAGCCGGACACGTATACATTATAGTTATACAGATACGTATATATACGGTACTTCCGTCAATAATACGGCTTTGACTTTCGCCACATAATATTATGACATTATATTCAACAAAAATATTTTTTGCTAATTACTAGATTTTTTTAAGTACCTATCTATGTAGTAGAATACAAGTATGTTCTAATAATTGTTACGTTGTCCTTTATTATGAATGTCGCTAGTTAATTATAGTAGAACTTACTGTGCAACTTCATCACAATGCTACCGACGTAAATTGAACTTTGTTGAAATCACAATACATTTGGTTATTAAAATAATTATTTTTTTTCTCACTCGGAATAAGTAAAGTAATTCCAGAGTATAAAGATTGTAAAACCGACATGCCCACAAAATTTGTTATTATATATAGCATTAATCTTTAAGTTTTATTACTTACGCCTTATTCAACTTCCCTAAAATAAATTATATAATTGGATTAAGAACCAGTTTTCCACGACCTGATCGACAATCAATATTATCATCAATAAGTCATGCATGAAGTTACGAGGCATTTTCGCAAAAGTTGCTCATGCAACTTTCACAATCCGAGAGAGCATACTATTTTGCTATCGAAACCTATATTACGTAGGTACGTATTTTCCCATATTGCTAATTTAGCGTTGCATACTCAAAAAATTAACACTGGAACCATATCTATCTGTCATGTCTGTCACTGTTTTTATCAAATTACAAAGTTTTCTCAGTGACTATTTCAGAAAATTATTAAAATTCTGATACCTAATGTCCAAACACAGGCGTAAATGTTGACTCAAAGGAACAAGGTAAGTACTTAAATATATTTGGGAACATCATGTTTACTGTATATTGAGTTGTTTATTTTTGTTTATTATTTAATTCTTTAAATGTTTTGCAATTGCTGTTTCGAAAATTTATAAGTAAAGATGTTAAAGAAAATTATCAGAATGGTATTATTGCTTTTATTATTTTTATTAATTTATTTCTACAAAATAGTTTTCGAGTCACTGGCTTTTCAATTAGCATTTAGTTAGTAACATTATTTAATCTGTGATTTAGTTCCGGATGACTCGGTTTTTTTTCCCGGATTCTTCGGATCTTTAAATAAAAATTTAATTTTAGCTAAGTTTGAAATCTTTATTATTTACAAATCTTTTCTGGCAAACCTTTCGATTAACTTGTACTTACATTACGTAATTATTCGTATAACTAATCAATTAATAGTCCGAAACACTAATTGTACAAGAACAATTTCCACTTATAAGACTTTTTTATTTGTGAAATCATATTAATGAGATCTATATTGAAAACAAGTTCCGATAAGCACATTGTGACACGGCCCACGCGAGAATCTTTCAGCAATACAGATTAGCTTATATATTACCTTCGACAGTAATTGAAACGATGTTAGAATACGATCCACATTTAAATTGTGTGAGTTACGTCAAAAAATTACGCTTGCAACGATATATCGAAAATCCAGTAATATCGATAATATCGACCGTTTATCGATATTAAAGTATCGAAAAACACCAGATTTATTACACTCAAACAAAAGTTTCGTTTCCTATGTTGAAAAAATGCTAAGTTGAAATGGATCTCTGGTTATCGAATAAAAAAAGGGTGAAATCTCCCGCATTGAGAGGCACACTCTCATTTATGGTGTATAAAATACTGGTTAGATCGAGGGTAAAGAGTTTTACTCCAGCGAAGCATCACATCGTTGGTATCGTGGCAACCGTTGTTGTTTGTAGGATTTTTGAGAAAAACATCTTCGGGAAGCGTACTATATATTTGCCACGACTGCTAACGATCTGCTTATTGTATTTTCTTATCTATGTTGTAACGCACGCATACTTGCGCCATCAAAGTGAATCTGAAAATTATCCTCTTTCGCCGAAGTGGGATTATGTTCCTGTTATATATATAACCTTCGAATAGTGTGATGAAGGCGTGGTACTGTGCCTCTCGTTCTTGAATGGAAGTATGCTGACACTGTGAGACAACCCGAGCGGATTATTTACGACTGCTGCCGACAGTTGATGCCCGAGGAAAGGAAATTTGTCTTAAATATTGCTTTTAAAAAATATTTTGTAGTAACAAGTGGTTTACTCATTTGGTAACAACGTATTAGGTTGTTGGTCGACTTGGAACGACCTGACCTAATAGTCGTCTCTACAGGAGATTTTATCACAAAAAGTGATAAAGATAATTATGTATGTGGTAACAGTTTGTTGCTAGCCTGTGTGTAATCAATTAGATAACTCTTTATTTCTCTGTATTTTGGCACACAATACATGATTTTTTTTTTGAAAAACTTAGCGGGAAGGGTGACTAAAAGAGTTATTACTCCATAATTATTATTATCCAAAATATACAGAAATATAGATCACACTCTTAATCCCATGGCTGTTAGACGAGAGATGAAGTTGCAGTCGTCAGCAGATTTGGCAGCATACAGGCAACTGAACAGACAGATCTCCAAATGCATGCGGCGGGACTTACGCCACTTTAATACTGCTCTACACTGCTCTGCAGCATGGCTCTATTTATTTACTTATTTATTTGGTTCACCAACAAATGTTACACTAATACATTTGCTTAATTCTAAGACAATGATATAAACTAAGTGCACATTCAATTATAGGTAAACACCGCATGTTTAGTGCTCACAGCATTTCCTACAAGCCTTTACATAATAGCTAAAAATATACAATACACAATTACAAAAAAATTTAAATTAATACAAAAAAAAATTAGGTACTACAAAGAAATATTAATAGTTTGATAAATTTCGTATCGAAAAACGTTAAAAGAGTCGTGGTGAATATCTACTACATTATCATAAGTATTTAAAAGTCTGCAAAGTCTGGGTATTGGGGAATTAGATCCTAGTACAGATCTACGAAGGGGCAGCGAAAGAGGAGTAATGTGCTTACTAAATTAAATTTACTTAGTAATAAAGGACCGTCTAACTCATTTCTAAATATTTTATATAAAAGTTGCAAATCCAGAATATCTCGGCGTTTAGACAGTGAGACCATTTTAAATGTCTTTAATCTGTCAACATATGATGCATTTTTATATGATTTTCGTGTTGAAAAGGCACGATGCCATAAAAATCTTTTTTGTATGCGCTCAAGCCGTAGGGTATGGGTACAATAATGGGGACGATAGACTGTGCTACAACATTCTAATATACTTCTAACAATTGAGATGTATAAAAGTTTTTTTTGTGGTAATATTACGGAATTCTTTACTGTTTCTTGTAAGAAAACCTAATGATTGAGATGATCTTTTAATAACACTTTCTAGTTGTGGTATAAATGTAAGTTTTTAATCGAATACTACACCTAGGTCCTTAACAGTTTCCACTTCTTGGATAACTACTCCATTGAGGGTATAAACCGATGGAAAAATATTATTTTTGCGCGTGAATTTAACGTGTACACATTTTTTATATTAAGATTCATTCCATTAAGATCGCACCATTTGGAAGGTGAGGCAAAAAAGATTGCATATATCACACCCATCTGTTATCATTACACTACCATTACTCATTGCACTCGGATACTTACTATTCCCATGCCGTTTAGTTTTGATGTAAGACCAAAAAGTTTTAGAATTTATGACAATATTATCTCCTATACATATTATATAGGCGTAGTAGCAGGTTTTAGCTAATTTATCACATCTCTTATTAAGTAACTTTAGGCTGAGTAAATCCATTGCGTTATTATATTTTTTATACCTAGACCTCACCTTATTTTTTTCCTTCATTACATTAACCCTTAATTTGGCAAAGAATAAAATGTAATAAAATCATAATTTTTTTATAAAATTTATTGTAAACATTTATAGATGTTACAAAAAAATAGTGAAAAAAATATAGGAACTTCAGATTTCCTGAAAAACAATGTATGTCACAGCATACATTGCCAAGTGCCCATAAAAACATTAAGGAAATGTGTTGTATGCCGGGACATACACAGCCAATTACAGTACAAAATGATAATAATAATACCAGAATGTTACTGTCCCACTGCTGGGCAAAGGCCTCTTCTAGAATGCAAAAAAACAAGGTGACAACGCCTAGAAATGGCCAACTTTACTAAACCCGCACATGGTAGTCTAATTGACAATTTCTAGAACTTTTTCCGGCTACAAAGCACAGACGGACTTGGCATTTTATACATAACACTGACGTTAGCTTTGAACATAGCCTTCAACGACCTTGGCTGGTTATTGTCATAAAATGGCCAACACTGTCATAGCGTGACGATTCTACCGGGTTGTGGTACACGCTTTGTGTGTTTATCGGTACGGGTGCGTCCGAACTTTGTCAACCCCTCAGAAATCTCAAATCGAAAATCCTTAAGAGACTTCCATTGTTTTTGCGATTTTGAGCAATCTTGCCGGTATAGAAGCCACGCATTATTGATACATATGTCGAGAATTTGCGCAAATATGCCGATGTATCAACGCCGGGTCTTGAATGGGGTTTTGTAAAGAGAAATGAGCATATCGGCTAAATCGACTCCCCCATATGTTTATTATAGTCTTTGACAATTTGAGGGCAATCTACATCCACTTTGTTTTTAGAGTCCTTGCAGTATCTTTTAATTTTTTCTACTGGATCTGCACCTACGTAAGAACTTATCAATGTTACGGCTTTGTTGTCGTTCCACCGTACTATTGCTAACCGGTTTTTATCGCAGACCACTTGAGCATAACTGCCGCGGGGTTTCTTTTTCATATCTTTTTCTGAGGGCAGAACTGCTTCAGCTCCTCTCAATCTGTTGCTCCTGACTGTTCCCAATCCAAATAATCCATAGTCTTCTCTAAGTATATAAAGTAGCTCCGGGCAAGTAAAGAAATTGACGCAGAACACAAAAGTCGGTTTATTTTTTATACTTTTACACAAAGCAATGACAACCTGAGCCCCAAATCCAATGGAAACTTCCTTATCTGTAAAAGTATTAAATCTAAATGTGTCCTCGCCACCACAAAAAAGAAAATCATAAATTATGCCCGACACTCCAGCAAGAACATAGTTTTTGAAGCCCCACTTGTTGGGTTTATCCTTCATGTATTGACGTCGCTTACCCGCTTTGGTCCCTTTATAGGGAATCATCATTTCGTCAATGCTGTATTTCTTTTCATTATCTTGAGCTAAGCAATTTTCTCGAATTTTTTTGTAATAAAGGCCTAACTTTATAATATCTGTCGGAGTCTTGTATATTGTTATCAACAAAATGCAAATGACGACGGATTTGTTGATACCGTTTTAGAGACATCAAATCGGCTATGGGATCGTATCTGTACCGCAAACTCCAGTAATCGGTGTACGAGGGCATACTAATAACACCCATGATAATATGAATTGCTAAAAAATCTCGCAATTCATCTTCGATCAAGCCAAGAGAGCGCCCAGTTTTGAATACTGCGTATGAGTTTGTTTGCTCTACGATATCTACTAAAACGTCAGGGAAAAAGAAAAGCTTTGTTGGCTGGAGACAAATGCTCCGTTATATAAATAGGAATCTTACTTCCGGGGAAACCGAGATAAGTTGAATTAAGCTTGTTGGAGACATCCATTTTATTAAATTTAATCGCTGAAGCCAAGAACTGATCGCGTATGAAAGTATGTTGTAAACTGAACAATAATTGAACGTGGTCGGGGGCTGCTCCGATTTATTTTTGCAATGCGTGTACAGTTAACAATTTTATCTTCGCTTATGTTACAGTTAATTACCTTAAATATATCCTTAACAATATTTAACACATTTTCCGACTTCCTTTCTGGAACACATTGGATTTCTGCATTTGATAATCGTGCACTTTGCTCCAGGTGGTTGACGCGTATCGTTAGTTCCTGAACAGCAGATTTTACTTTGCGATTTTCATCCTGAAGCTCTTTATAACTTTTTTTCATAGCTAAACCTTCCATTTTACACTCTTCAAATTCAGCGTTCATAAACTCCATAGATTCCTTTATTTTTGATAATTCTTCACTTACATCCTTTAGCTGCTTATTCAATGTGTGCAATACACTTTTACTTATTTTATTATAAAGGCTCTCCATTTCTTTCTGTATCACAGTCTGCACTATTTCTTTTACTTCATCTCTAGTCACTGGGGTATTGCTGCTTTTGCATGGAGGGGAATATGCTTGTTTTTTGCTTCCTCTGACAGTAATGTTCCTTACTGGCGTATTATCATCCTTCCCCGATTTCGGAGCTTTACGAGGGCGGCACTGAAAATTTCGGGAATCAAGGAAGTGACACCACATTACTATTTAAAAATGTATTTATTGCTTTTCGAAGTATTCTCCGCGAAATTTGACACATTTTTCCATACGATGGAACCAATCATTGAAACAACCATTCCATTCACATTGGGGTCTCCAAAATGGCCGTTTTGTAGGCGTCCACAGCTTCTTCAGGTGATGAAAATCTATGTCCACGCAATTTATTCTTTATTTTAGGGAAAGTATAGAAATCATTAGGGCTTAGGTCGGGGCTGTACGGCGGATGGTCTAATAATTCTATGTTTTCTTGCTCTAAAAACTCTTTTGTTCTGTTTGCGGTGTGAGAACGCGCATTGTCGTGATGGAGGATGATGCGGCGGTTGCAGTTCTCTTAACGGAGTTCAGAAACGACCTGTGGCAAACAAATGCTAGCATACCATTCTGCATTAACCGTTCTTTGTCCCTCAAGAGGTATAGTCGTAACATGGCCGGTTTTGGAGACAAACGTGGCCACCATTTTTTTGCAACACTCCGTGAACGAACAATTTTTGTTGGCTTTAACTCATTTTCGAACACCCAAACTCGTGACTGGTTTTTTGTTTCGGGTTCGTACGCGTATATCCAGGATTCGTCACCTGATACGATGTTGTATACAGCATTTGAGGATCCTGCGTGGAATCTTTCGAGGGTTCTGACGCACCAAGAAACGCGAGCCGCTTTTTGCTCTTCACAGAGCGAATGCGGTATCCATCGAGAAAACAACTTTTTTACACCTAATTGTTCATGCAAGATTATTTGTATTTGACTCATGCCAATGTCTAAAGGAACATGTCGATTTTTCTCAATCAGCTTACGCACAGCATCAACGTTTTTTTGGGTGACTGCAGTTTTTGGACGACCTTGACGGGGATCATCACTGAGCTTGACATGTCCACGTTGAAAATTGAAATTCAGCAAACCAGCGATAAATTGTGGTTTTGGATGGGGCTTCATCACCAAATGCAGAAATCATCCGGTCAACACACTGTTTTTGTGTTAAACCATTTCGAAAGTCATAATAAATCATCGCTCTTGAATTTTCTCGAGTCAATTCCATTTTCTCAACGACTAAACAAGTTTGACAAAACCTTGTGACAAGACCAATAATCTTTTTTTAAATAAATAAATGGTATTCGATTTTTAAAACCAAGGAGTTTTCAATTAAAAAGATTTTAATATGACAGGAACAGTGGAAATATTCATTCCAACCATATAATGACTCTGTCATGTCCTGATTTTCAGGTAAGGCAAGACAAGATTTGTGATAAACTTTTTTACAATTAGTACAACGCAGGAATGCATCATGAGCAGATCCTCCATCACAACAACCCCATGACAACTTGACACTTGGAAGCGGAGTGTTCGGCATCGCGAATTATAAAGTATATAACTATAATAACAAAATTGAATGTCTCAAAAATTAAACACACACAACAAACAACACAAAAATGAAATAGTTCTTATAAAATAGAAACAAAATTTTATATAAAAATATATAAAAAAAAACATATATTAAAACAAAGGATTTAAAAAAAATATTAAAAAGAAGTTGCAGTTTCGATCTTGCACCACTAAGATAACGTTTTAGAGTGTGAAACAAATCCGCCACTTAGTTGCGTTGAATAGTCATTTAATTTTACACCAGTATGTGATGTTCACGATATCTAGGTGGATTGAAAAGTACTCGGCCTAACACAGATCCATTCAATTCTAAAAATCAAATCTACCCACATTATTTAGTTCAGTTCAGACTAGTTCATTGTGTGAAGTTCGAAACGTGTGCGATAATTAGTTGTGATTTTATAAATTTATTAACAAAGTAATCGGACATAATTTCCGCGAATGGAGCAAATCGAGCAGCGTGCCGTCATTAAGTACCTCCATAAGAAGGGGCTATCATCAAAAGCCATCCATGATGACATGGTCAGTACATTAGGCGATTGTGCTCTGTCATATTCATCCGTCAAAAAATTGATAGCAGAATTTAAGCGTGGTAGAGAGAGTGTGAAAGATGAACCCCGCTCTGGAAGGCCTTCGACGTCAACTACTGACGAAAATATTAAAAAAGTACTTGATTTAATAATGGGAGACCGCAGATTAAAAATTAGAGAGATAGCCGAGATTATAGGCATCTCTTATGAACGAACTCAAAACATCATTGTCAACGAGTTGGGTTTCCACAAGGTGTCTGCGAGGTGGGTTCCGCGACTGCTTTCAGTTGAACAAAAAAGGACGCGATTGACTATTTCACGCGACTGTTTGGAGTTATTTGAAGCCGATGCAGATGATTTTTTGAATCGTTTTGTTACTATGGACGAAAAATGGGTTCATTACTGTACACCGGAAACAAAACAACAATCAAAACAGTGGAGAAGACCTGGTTCACCACCCCCTAAAAAAGGCTAAGTCGATTTTGTCGGCAAATAAGGTGATGGCTTCAGTATTCTGGGACTCGAAAGGTGTGATTATGATTGATTATCTTGAAAGGAGTCAGACTATAAACTCTGATTACTACTGCACCTTACTACGTCGTTTACGAGAGGAAATAAAAGAAAAACGTCGAGGAATGCTCAGAAGAAAAGTCCTGTTTCATCAATATAACGCCCGTATTCACACGTCAGTACAGTCAATGGCTGAAATTCACAACTGTGGCTTTGAACTGTTACCGCATCCGCCGTATTCACCTGATCTGGCACCATCAGACTTCTTTCTGTTCCCTAACCTAAAAAAGCACTTGGGAGGTCAAAGATTTTCGACAAACGACGAGGACAAAGCAGCTGTAGACGCATATTTTGACTCTAAGGAAGAATCATTTTTTTTTCAACGGTCTAAATGCTTGGAAGGGGAGGTGGCAAAAGTGTATTGAACTTGATGGTGATTATGTAGAAAAATAAAAATATAACTGATTTAGTATGTGTTTATTTTCTTGGTTAGGCCGAGTACTTTTCAATCCACCCTCGTATTAATATATGAGTCGGCGGGTATATGATAGACTTGATCATTTATCAGTCACAAATACCGTCACAACACTAATTAAACACATTAATTATCACTGTATTTAGACTATATTTTACTTTGCAAATACGTCCATAATTAGCAGAGAGGTTTATAGGCTCTTTAAACTACGACACATATTAAAAATACACCATTAACCAATTTGAATCAATTTTAAAAAAGCTGGGAAAGAAAGAGCTTGTCAGCGTGCGCGTACGACAGTTGTGTATGAACCACGTAGAAAACCATTTCTCTGTGGTTTCATGGAAGAACGTAGACGATGTCTATCTAATAGAGGTCAATATACTTAGCGAAAGAATATTTTCCAGCCTCTGTGTCAACTTTATACACAAAGATCAAGTAACATTACTAAATGAACTTGATCTTGGTGGCTCCAGTAATCGTTATTAATTTAAATCACGCGTAGTTTTACACGGAGGCGCGAGGTTATCTGACTTTCGCCTTACATAATGGATCTCAAAAGTGAACTGGTTATGATATCAGCGTTACGTCTAACCTTAACCTTAAAGTAAATCCAGGAAATAATTACAGCTGGCCTTAGCCATTCAGTAAACTACGATAATTCGTTTTATTTTAATTTTCTTACCTTTCCATTAAATACTTACATACGATTTTTTAACAAAGTATGTATAATTTCTATAAATATAATAACGTGTTAAAAGGATTCCATTTATTGCTTGCCAACCACCAAGATAATATGGATGGAATCTAAAATTTTGTCAAGGTGGCTAGATACTAAAAATATGTTAAACTAACTCTAATTACTATCACCTCGATCTGGTTATGATCGACTTTATCGGTAAATAAAAAAAATTTGAATCAACTAACTCACAGTAATGTGCCCGCTGTCTTTTTGTATTTTTATTTATTTATTAGAAAACTCCTGCATGATTGCAATAACAGCCTTTACTTAGACTTAAAAAGTTTTCTTTTTTTAAAACGTTTCTTACTGAAAAATTAGAACTTAAGAGGAAGAGCAAAAACAGTATGTGTGATCAAATTAAAGGGATCTAAATTTTTTTTTTAATATCTAATATATCTATATTATATATTAAAAATTTGATGTTGTAATTATGTAGTATCCTAGACAATATTGAATTTGACAAATAACGGAGTTTACTACAACGTATCAGAATTAAGTCGCAAAAGAATGCGTACATTACGAGTAACATCACAGATATAATATTATGAGAAAACCTCTGGCCTCAGTAGAGAGCGTTCGGTGGGACTTCTGGCGCGTTTCTGACTGTGTGGCGTCACGATAACAAAACATGAGGTGTAGCAACATGATTTGTACAAGAAACTCAAGACTTAGGTTCAACCATAGTATACTATAATACACAATAGGATGACTGTCAACCTTATTTTGTACGAGATTCGGTGACGTCGTATTATCAGTTAATCACTACTACAAACCCGATTCGCTGTGTTGACAGACGGATTTTAGTACATATTTATTTGTAAATAGCGTGCAATTTGGCATTTTCTAAATAATTTGCATGCGAAATTTGGAAACGATTGTAACGTCAAAACATATCTCGCGTTGACATTTAATACGTGTGAATTGACGTGTTAGTGACATTTTAGTAGCTGTACACGGGCTCCGCCCACTCCCCCGTTTTATTATGTATGTAATAAAGTATTCTATGGGTTCAACCGTAGACATAGGATTATTTCTACTGCAAAAAATATTATAGAATTAAATTCAAAGTGTAGGAAAATGTGTTTATTTAACGAAGTCAAGATTTTTGCACACCTTGAAGCAGAGCGGAGAGGTTGGG